TTTTATGTCTCGTCCTCCATTTACAGCATCGACATTTTCTAACAAATCTTATCTTCAATGGCTGTAAATTAGCTCCCTTAATTAGCTTAGATATTTTCGCACAGTGTATGTGAATTGCTTATCACGTTGTTTGACTTTGGGGCTCGTTTGAATTATGCGTGCTATCTTCCATTGCCATTCCATTCCGTACCCCGGGCCAGCAAGTAATTCACGCCGCAATTGTCTCTTTTGGGTTCTTTTTATCACACCTGCCGTGCACCGCTGGATACCACACACACTGCAAACTACACACTACACACACCAAGTGGAGTGCCATGTGAAGTGGAGTACTCTACGAAGAAGTGTAGGGTACACGTACTTCCACTTTGTGGCTGCTCTTTTCATGGCACGTCCTCCTCATCGAGTGTGTTTGCCTTGGTACTCGCATAGAATTCGTTAGTTTTTTGGCTAGACCATTTTCTATTCTTTTTTCTATTTTTTTTTAAATATGTAAATAATTTTTTTTTTAGTTAAAGTACACAAATTAGCTGGGAAGTCGGGTTTTTGGGCATAATTAAAAAGCGTTAGCTGAAGCCTAGTTATTTTGTTTACCAACTTTAAAGAAACTGTTCAGCAAGGGAGGAATAATTTAAAATAGTATTACTTTTATTTAATATTATTTTAAGTAAAAAACCATCTTTTGAAAAAATACAAGCAACTTTTTTAAAAGAGAACCCAAAACACAAAATGAAGTAATCTCTCAGACAGCCAAAAAAATTACTTGCCCAAATAATTTAATTAAATTATTCCATTCAAAAACCAATTGAGCAAACGCAAAGGCGATTCGACATAAAATGAATTGGCAAAAAAATGCGATTAATAACAATAAATGAAAATAAAAACTACCAAGCCCGAGGGCTTAGTATAACCAAAAAGTGTGCGAAAAGAATCCAAAACAAAATCGATAGCAAATACAATAAGCCCCCTCACTGGCGCTGCCTAAAAATAGCAAAACGAAAAACCATTTAATAACAATATCAATAATATTGTAATCCCAAAAAAGGAAATCAAAATCGAAGCTCATTTTGAATTGCAATAATCAGAATTCGTAGACGCCGCCGCGGCTCTTGAGAATTTCGTACGGCATTAATATAAATTATATTTGTTAAATGACGAACGGGAGTGTGGGCGCCGCTATCAATAAAAATTAGTTTTATTAATAAAAGAGGAGGAACAAAATGTTGGATACTTGTTTTGTTTTTTCACACAGAGAGAAATAATGCCTTAGAATAAGACACATACCCACAGATAAAATTAATTAAATTAAATCTCTTTCCAATTGAATTATAGGATCCAATCGAAAATGGATCATAAATAAGCTTAAACATTCGCGTTCTTTGAATTGATATTTATTTTTTCGACAAATCAAAATTTTAAAAACTCTTCTAAGGTCGGACATGAATTCCTTAATAATAATAATAAAATTGGGAATTTTAAACTTTATGAAAGAAACGCTTATAAGATATAATTACTATTTTTAAGTAAGTCAAACCTATTATTAGTTGTTTTCCCAGTGTAACTTATTGTTCTTAAATTTTTTCATATTTCCTGCTCTGCTTTGGCACATTTCGCACATTAATTGATAAATGCTGCTCTTATCAATTTGTGATCAAAAGTAATTAAGTTCATGAACCAAACGTGGCTAATTGCCAACATTATTGGAAAATAAAAAAGAAGTCAAACACTCACAATAACAAAAAATATAATAAAGTAAACAAAATAAAAAAACAAACAGAAACCATTAAGAAGTAACAAAAGACCATAAAAAAGCGTTAAAAATGTGCAAATATGTAATGTGTGTGATGAGGCAACAACAACATCGCAAGAAACTACAGCTCCAACACCATAATTAACAACTATACGAGTGAGCGAGAAGGAAACGAAGCGGCGACAAGACACCAACAGACTTTTTCCAACAAAAACAACAACGGTAACAGTAACACTGAAAGATACAACAGCTGATCAGAGATGGCGCTATCAATTACCGTTATTATTGTGACTCTTTTCACAATTGTCATAAAGCTTCAAGAACAACACAACTGTGCGGGTAAGTGAGACAACCAAATACGAAATAATAAAAAAAATTATTTAGAATGAAGTAATAATTATAACGAAAACACACACATAAAGTGGATTGAGTAATTATCGTAGAATTGTGTATGATCCAGAAGACAATTTGGCAATTGAATTAATGCTGCTGAAGCAATGAGAATCTTTGTTAATAATTTGTTCAGAGACTTGTCGGCACTTTAAAATTCAAACAATTTTTAAACAAACAATAAAACAATATAAACTTAAAAATATTTAAATCTCCATTACTTAATATAGACAACTTCCTTCAACTTCCTAATGTAGTTTATTCTCTCTTTTTTTGTGCCATAAATCAAGTAGTTAAAATTAAACACAGCAAAGCTAACAATAAACGTCTTTTATAAGCACAACACTCTTAAAGTCCTCTAAAGTTTTACAATGTCGTTGAATAGTAAAAATGTGCCAAAAAGTAATAGCTTCTTAAAATGATTTAAGAGTAATTTTAACCATTTGCAAAATACTTAGAAAATATACAGACAGAAAAAAGTAGTTTTACTTCTTTTTAGGGTGCAATTAAACAATCTTTGTTAATTTTATATCAAAAAATAAATGATCAGCTGATCAATGCAAACCAATTTTAACTTTAATTGTTTGCCTAATTCAAGTGGTTTCACTTTAATCGATTTATCAGTGTTCAGTTAGCTACACCTAGGCGTTTCACCTGGTTCTTAAGCAAATAAAGAGCTCATAAAAGGCAATTACACTAATTTGAATCGAGTGGCGGTGCACAAATCCCTCAGATAACTTGAACTCAAACAGTCGCCTCGTGGGAATGCAACTGAAGATATGGGAGTAATAAAGTGGGAACCCCCTTTTATGACCCTTTTTTTCAAAGGAGTTCGGTGCTCTTTTATGTGCTCCACGCTGCACTGCTTTGCTTAGCTTAGCTTAGCTTCATTTTTAATTATAATTATAAGCCATCAGAGTTCTATGAGGCCCACAAGGTTTAATCGGACACAGGTGTGAACTGACGGCCCGACAAGCTTGCCAGTAAGCGATATGTTTCGTGGGCCCAACAACTGAATGACGGACTGACAGAATGACGGTGATGGACTGGACTACCGACAGTACCCCAGAGGCGCTCCATCAAATTCCAATGTAGATAATACACAGAGAAGAAATCAGGAGGAGATGGGTTGATCGCTATTAAAACTTTTTAAATAAACAAATACATACTATCTCAGATAATAAAAGGGGTTCTTAAACCTTCTTATAAAGGTTTTATCAAGCCAAGTTTATTGCTAATACCTTATGTTAAAACAAACCCAAGGACCTATTTCAAACCTCAGTGTATGACGTGCTGAGCTAGCACACACCCAAAAATTATTTCGTCATGTTGCAAAAGACATATCAAATTTTTTTCGGGGGATGACTTGCTGCCTGCTGACTGCCATTCCCGCACAGCTGACACTCAGAGGAGCACTTTGTCCCTGTCAAGTTGAATGCAACGCACCTTCCTTCACCCTGTGACCAGTATCAGTCACCGGCGGGTCAAAGGTGTTGAAATGTGCCGGCCAGCAGCTGTCGTTGTCGCCGCTTGAAATTCATGAATTTATGTGCAATCAATTAAGTCAATAGGTGTGTGCCTCCATTGGCTTTGTTTGTATTTTATTTTTGATTGCATTCAAACTTTGCTCGCAGTGCCTTTTTTGCACTCGGCAGCAGCCTCTGGCTGTTTCATGGCTTCAATTAAAGTGTTTTGTTAAATGGCAGGCTATCAGTTGACTTACAAAAGACCATAACTTTGGTCAGTAAATCTGAACATAAAAATCTTTATGGAAAATATAGTAAATGTTATAAATATAGGTGCTGAGTAACATATGTTTAAAGTCAACGATCTTAATGACTTAATTGGTTGTTATAAGAAAATAAATATTAATGTTCTTTAGCTATTCAGCTCAGTACAAACTTTAATTTTAAAAGGAAAGTTTGAGTATCTTAAAATCCTTTAATTTCCATCTAATTTGTACTTCATTTCCTATTGAAATGTATCAAATATTGTGGCCAATCTTAAATCACTTTAGGTGCCACAAAACTTTTGCAAAGTATTTCATAAAACATTTCATATTTCCCGCACACATGGTTAGATTTATGAGCGAGCTTGACACATTTATCACAAGACAGCCAAGGTTGTTGGTTCGCGCCGTCGTCTTGGAAGGGTACTTTGCATAACAAAATATATATAGTAATGGCAAAACGGAAAGCGATTCGCAGTTATGAGATCTGTCTCCGTCTCTGCCACTGTCTGTCTTTATTTGTCACGCCCAGAATTCTTAATTTTTTTGTTACTATTTGCAAGATCCCAGAAATAGTAGCATGATTCAGCTACAGAAATCGGGTTTATAATGCAAGCCCATTCAACTCCTTCAGCTTCAGTCTGCAATCTGCATTTTACTTATACAGATTTATTTTTATGACTTTTTGGTTTCTTGAAGAAGTAAACCAGTCTTTACATGAGACTAAGAAAGGTCATCTTGGACTGAATTTTGTTTGATGGAAAAATTACTTTAATTTAAAAGAACATATTTACACTAAACTATCAAAGATTGCTTAGGGTAAAAGTAACTGTTGAAATTTTTTCAAAATTTAAGTTTTATTTAATACTTCAACATAATATTGATTTGTGTGGATTATAGGTAAAATAAGTTGACCTTTCGCTCAAAGAATTAAGAGATTATAATGTTCTTTAAATTAACTTCGTTTTGTGTTCAGAAAGATTACATTGATTTAGGTTGTTTAACAATAACCGCAAAGTGAACATTCTTTTCAATAAATTAAAATTTGTGGTTTTAGCATAAGTAACTGATTTCAAAATTCTTCAAATGTGATGAATTTAAGAACTAAATATTAGATTTGGTAATGGTAACTCCTTTCTTTAGTTCATTTCAACATTTCGTTAAATATTTTAATTTAAACATAAAAACTGGGTGTAACTTTTCGCTTTCCATGGTTCTTATGCCAGGATACAATACTTACAGTGCTAAAATTTGGTTATTTATGCGGGGAAATGCCTCAAAAGAGTCGAATAAGCTTCTAATCGGAAGGCTCCAAGCAGCTTAGAGCTTCCTCCAGCCTCAATTGTTCGAGGCGTTCACTGTTTTGTGATAAAATGAAAAACGTTTAAGGTAAAATGAACGTTCTTTAAGTAGTATTAGCCTTACACGGCATCCTGCTCGATCTGACTCAACGTTTCGATCTCCTGCATCATGGCCAAGTGCTTGGCATGATACTCCTTTTTCTTGGTGACCAGCTCTGCCTTTTTGGCAGCCGCCTTGCCCAGTATCTCCTTCAAAGAATTCTTCATTTCATCGAGTATTTTTTCTAGTTCTTCGTTGGACTACCAAGATGTAAGTGAATAGCAGGGAATTTAAAAAATGGTTAATGAAGATGATGTTCCCTACATACCATCGTGGTGTACTGATCGTATCGACTCTTCAGTTGATTTTCTGTGACACTCTTGGCCTCCTTGCAGTGTAGGTCATAGGCCTTGTCCACGTTTGCCTTTGCTTCGATCAACCCTGTGAGTTGTGCCACTAATTCCTCGGTCTTTGAGTTAACCTGTTTGAGGCGAGGCATCAGATTCATGCCCACGGGAAAGGGCTCCTTGCTGGCAGCCGCAAGGCAGCTGTACTTATGGTCCAGTAGCTGCTTCTTCAGCTCCTGGAGCCTCTCTAGCTCCGCTGCCTTCTGTGCAGTATCGGCGACCTGCAGCGACGATTCGGAGGAGCAGGTTACACTTGCATTTTTTGCGGGAACTTAGCACATTTCTTACCACTTTGGCCAGATTCTTCTCTAAGTATTGTACAAGCATTTCATCGTCCAAGCCGACTTCCTGATCTTCTGAATTCTCCTGGACAATTACCAAATTGTCGCCTTTGTTAGACATAATTATTATTAAATTTAATATCCACAGAAAGCACTTTTTGCAATTATTTAGGTAATTAATGGCAAAGGACGCCGATCAAGCTTATGTATATCGCGAAATGAAAGATCGATAAGTACTTTATCGATATATTTAGTATTGTTGCACAAACGGAATCAGTGTTATATAATGCCAATCAGTCACGATTTTTGGCAATATCGTTACAATTTGCACTTTACTTTATTTCCATTCGTATTTCAGCTTAATCCATACGATTGGAGTTCTTATTTACCAAAATGTGTTATGCTTTATAATTTAAAAAATAATAATAATTATGAGACAACAAAGGCAACAAAGCTTATACATATACTCCCATAGCACTACTTACAAGGAACCACAGTCAATGGATATTGTATAAAATATATAAGCTAGGCATAAATGCCACCTTGACTAATTATAACCCCTATTAATTAGCATTAGTTAGCATACATTTTAAGAGGCTCCTGACTTTGACAAATGCATTGGACACGCCAAATGTTTTCAAACTCACTGACAACCGCAATTAGTTGAGTCTGCCATCCATCACTGGCACGCCGAGTGTCACTAAATGTCACTAATTTCAGCCTTTTGGTGGTTCTATTAACTTGAACGGGAGTGTCACTCATCCTAAGAGACTTCAAGACAAAGTCTTTGAAGTTCGCTTTGGTGACTTCTAGTCTGCGATTATATCGCAATTTCCTTCCATGTTGCTCTTTCCATTCCTCAATCTTCTTTTTTGCTGTGACTGTGCACTTCTTTGTGCTGGGACTGGACAAAAGGAAAAACTATACTTTAAATGAAAATTACATTTAAATCGATAATAACAAATTGTTTCTTGTACATACCCTAACTAAAATTGGTTAAGTTGTCTAGTAGGTCTAAGGAACTTTGTTCTATTTAACTCTTAATCAATAAATATTTGAAATGATTTAAGAATTATATACAATCCCAAATTGAATTTACTTCACAATTTCTATTTTCTATACATCAGATATCGATAATTCTTATATGACAATTTTGGAGATAAATAAAGTATTAAAAAAAACATTAATTTTAATTCGGACAGCTTTCCCATGCAAGTTTTTAGTAGGTTAATAAATTTCAACTCAAGTTGAAATTAAAAAAAATACAATTTTTATCAATTTTTGACCACTTTTAAAATTTAAAAAAAAAATATGAAAAAAAATATAAATTTTATTTTTCACCGGACATATCTAGATTTACTCGGCTGCTAATTCTGATCAAGAATATATATGATTTATAGGGTCGGAAATGGCTCCTTTACATTGTTTTAGGCTTCTTACTAAAATGATAATACCCTGAAAGAGTATAAAAAGAGCATTTGAAACTCTTTGCTGTTACTAGCTCTGAATTCAATTTACTTTGGCTTTGGCACAAAGAAAAATATTTCATGGACAGACAGGAAATGGAGAAAACATTCAAGACACTTTGTCTGCGCACTTGGATCGTTGAGTGAAAGTGGCAAGGCAAAGGGGGAAATACTTATTAAATAATCCAAATCCTGGCAATAACCACGACCAATGTTTCCTGGCGAAACACACAGAAAAAGTGCAACAGCACCACAGATACAATTGCAGTGCCAGTGCCGGTGCCAAGGAAAATAGAAAAAGCACGTCTGGCCCACACGACGTATGAGTAATGAAAAGAACAATGAGCAGGGAAAACCTAGCACAAAAAGGAGAAAACCTGACAAAGACAAAGTTTTCATTACGCAGCAGTAGAAAATATATAATGTCAGTCCGGATGCTGGAAAACACAAAATTAGGAAGGAAAAACTGGAAAAAATGAGTCATCCCAGAACAAGGACAATAAACCCCAAAGTGAACTGTAAACAGGCAAACTGTCGACCTAATTCGATGGCAAGTCAATTAATTGGAGGAGATTAATTAGTTTATGCGAAACTAGTTGACATTTCATCCAAAGGCCGCTCCCCGATTCGCCGAGTTTGAGTTTCGAGTCTCAGTTACCTTGCCGTCACCCTGCCCAGGCCAATGGCCACCAAGTTCAGGTACACGGGCCCAACTAATGGCCATGCCAGAGACCGAGACGCCGCCCATCAATTGTTGACAGTGTTGCTGTCATTAGCGCTTCTTCGGCACAGAGACAAAAAAGTGGTTAACTAACTCAAATTTATAGAAAACAATTTCGTTTTATGGTTAGTAATAGGCTAAATGTTGAATGTACTATTTAAAATTAGTAAAAACATTTGAAGATGAACTCATTATATGTCTTTAGTTGAATTGTTGGTTTATTATACCAAAAGGTATATAGGAAAATCTTAAAATTATAATTGTTTACGAATTCTGAAAATATAATCATCATATAATTAATTTTTGTCCAACTGTATCAACTCCCTTGGAGTCCAGTCACCCCCAGGGATAGTCTATCCCGGTTTTATCCTGTGTCTCCCCCATTTTTAAGGCCATGTTTTAGCAACTTCATTGCTTTGAGTTTTTAATGTGCCATTCGCTGGCTTTTTAATTGTCTGCCTAATAGATAACGTAATAGTCTTAGTCCTTCCCCGTTAACGTTTTTTTATTTTTAGCTGTTCGTCCTTTTTACGGTTGTTGACTGTTGATCAGAGGATTTAAGGATGGTTTCAGTGTTTCAAAGCACTCGTTTACCCCGCTCACTTCCTTATTTTTTATGAGCTTTTAAACACAGACCCTTGGGATTATAGAGGTCAAGTTGAGCACAAATCGAGAAGTGATTAAAACAAATCGGTGGAAGAAGACTAATTGGGGGCAGAAATAAAGGGCTTTATACTTTGTTCAAGGGTTGAGCTGAATCATAAATTGATCTAAGATAAAGTAAAGATAAACCCATTTTATATTACTTCATGCCTGTGTTTCATCTAAAGTTATAAATTAAATCTAAGGAAATAAGGGACCCAACTTATTTCCATATCCTTAAATAATTCAAAAACTCAATTCTCATCTCAACTCCAAAGCAGGAACTTCACAAAAAGCAAAGTTAGGGAACCTCCACTAAAATAAAGTGATTGCTCCCCACCAAATCGAGCCTCACACCTCCAAACCAGGCATATAGAGGGAAAGAGGGAATGTAAACAGTTGGAATAAATGAATAAAAAGCCGCTAATTGGATACCTCCGACCCTCCGCCAGCCATCCACACTAAATGCCTGTCATAATTATGGCCAAGCTTTCGAGAGGTAACCAAACACAGCACACACTCCACCCTCCATCACAAAAATATAAAAGAGTGTGAGAATGGGAAATTTCCTGGTTACTCCTGCTTGATACGGCCTTTAGCATATAGTACACATTATAAATAATAAAATGTGTTCATTACAATTGCTGACGCTCAGGCATGCGAAAAATGCTGATAAAATATGTAGATCAGGCAAGGACAAACACGCGCGCATTTATAATGACATTTTAAATGCGTGTTTTTTGGCGCCCCACAAGGGACCTAGCCACCCACAAAAATATATATATGTATATATTAATGCTGTCAGCGTTCCTAGTAAAATATGCGTGTGGCGGAGGAGGAAAGTGTGGAGAAACTTGAATCCCTAACAGGATTATGCCGGCACTCATCCTTAGCTGATTCCCAGCAAATGATGGCGCCAGTCCCTGTTTATGGCTGAAACGTTGGCCCCTGATTAAGTACCAAGTGTCCACTATATTATATAGTATATAGGGAGAAATGGCTCCAAGTAAACGATTCTGGTGCCACTAATCACACTTTGTTTTAAATTATGGGGAGAAATTATAAAAAGATTTGTAAACAAGATTAACGGGAAATTTAAAGGGGTCCTTTAGTCCCTAGAACAGGGCAATCATAAATAAATTAATGTTCGAAAATGTGTTAGAAGAAAAGAAAGAAATTCCAAGTATCATTTGTGAAGTAGAATAAAAATGATATTTATACCCTGAAATCCTGAACTTAGTTTTTTTTATTGTTTTCATTAATTTAAATCGTTAGAGTATTTTTGTAATTTAAAAGACATATTTTCAACGCCTTTCACTTAATTTTGATATCAAACCCAATTATTTATGTAGCTCTATTTAAACAGTTAATAGCCTTGATAAGAATAATCACATACACACTGCCTTCCCAACATAATTTGATCAATATATTAACTAACTACCCCCTCGACATAAATCAGTTGAATTTCAATGCATTTAATTTCTATTTATTCAACCTATTAAGGCCATAACTTCACCCACTCTCCACCCATTGACACCATAACATTACAAGAGTTCCTTCCCTAACCCCCTATATAGTTTGCTTCACATCGTGTAGCATAAAATTGGGCGTAGGACCAACTAAACAAGGGTCGAAAATTTGTAACCAATTATGCTTGGGGTTGTATTTTTTCCGCCGGACAAAAAAAAACGCAACCTTATCGCTATCACAAAATCAATACGCAACTTGATGACGCCGACACTCCAATGTTCAGATGGTAACAATATATATATAATACATAGATCCAAAGGGGAAAAGGACCGAGGACTGAACAGGCGTCATTTTGATAACCCATATGCTAATAACTAATATCTGTATTATATTTATTTATCGCTTGTTTTGGACTCTGACTCTTATGCAAACACACGACCACCAACACAATCGTGTGTCATTAGGATGGGAATATCTTATCGAATTACGCATACGCCTGTTAGACGGTGTTGGGGAAACCACCTCTTTGTGTCTTCCTATTAAGGTCAACTCGGACTTATTAAACTAAATCGTTTGATTGGATTTGATGACGACTGTCAAGCGTGTGTCGCCATTCCTCCCCCTCTGATGCTGATGATGATGATGATGGGCAAACAAACCCCAAAAAAATGATACCAACCCTCGGGAATGAATATATTGTGCATATATTTTATTTGGGGGGTTTGGCACTGTGGTTGGGAATGAGATTAAAGTCTGGGAACTCAAAGGACTTTCTATATAAATATTTCAAATTCCAAGCAGTAAATAAATTTGGGAATCGAAATTTAAACCAGAAATAAAATAGCCCTATCAAATTAAAGTTCTACAAAAATTTTCTAATGGCCTTTACTAACAACTATAAAGTATTTAACCAATAAAACCCAAACCACTGCCAAGTTTGTCCACGAAATGAATATTAATCCGCAAATGGAATCGAAAAGCCGCCTCCTCTTCCACTGAGTGGGTCAATTGCGGCAACCACTTGTGGCAGCATCAAACGAGGCTTCACCACTAACCCAAACACTTCGCACCCACTTCACCCCCTCTTCACATGACGCCATCGGGACATTAACTGTATTTTTCCAACCCTCTGATTTTCTAAATTTTTCCTCTCATTTTCCCACAGCAGCCGCCGTTGATGTTTACTTTCCCAGCACGTCCGTGAAATTCAATCTGCCCATCAATGAGGAATCGGAGAGCATCTTCTCCAAGATACCGTTGGCCCAGTTCCAAGTGCGGCGAATGGCCAGCAACCGACTGGCCAGTGACTACATCTACAGTCTGGAGGATAATACTTTGCTTCGGATCAATAGCTCCTCTGGAGAGATATATATGCGAACCGACTACAAGCCCCTGAATGTGAGCACCCAGTATGTGGTGACCGCCTTTCCTCGAGATCAACAGGATCACGAGCTGCTGCCCATATCGCACCTCACGCTGGAGGTAGTGCCGCAATCCCTGGAGGATTACTGTTCCGAGCTGGAGCACATCTGTTTCTGGAACCGCGCCGAGTACAGTGTGGCCGAGTCTCAGGGTCAGTATCGTCGGCGTGACTCCTTCGAACCGTGCTTATAGGTGCTCTGAATTCACGGGCCTCCAATACCTGTGTCCGCATGTCTCCTTGGATTACTCCCTGACCGCTGGCAGCTCTCACTTTGTCCTTAAGCAGAATCGTCTCTACACAAGGATGCCTCTGGATCATGACGAGCTAAATGGACTAAATGCCAGGGCAGGACAGATGCTGGTGGGGATCACCTGCACGGTGAAGCTATCCGCGCGGGATCAGAGGAAATTTACGCGCAATTTCGATATCAAATTACTCGATCGGAATGACAATGGACCCAAGTTGCAGGAGAGCGATTCCCGATTCGATTTCTACCTGGATCAGCCCTACTTTCAAGAGGTGAGTTTTTCGTGAGATTTTTGAGTGATGTTTGACGGGTTTCGGGGAGGGGATGAGGATTGCCGGGGAAGGTGGAACCCTGCAGGCAGACCCTGCCCAGACATTGTCTGCCGGCTGTCTGGTCGCTCACTGGGTGCGGGCTTATTGAATTCATCATGATGAACGCCCCCTTGACACGCAACCAAGGCAGGTCCACTTAAAGAAAATTATTATTAAGTTAAGATTCAGATATTTCATTCAGTAATTTTTAAACAAATATTTGGGGGTATTTTTCACTTCGAAAATAATAAAACAAATTAGAAAAGTCAAACCCTATCCTAGAAATATTTTAGTATTACAGTTCCCCATATTTTTACTGGAAATTTACCTAAACCTTCTATTTATAGAATATATATCTAAAATAAATCCAGACATTTTTAAAAGTGCTTTGGAAGACTCCATCAAAGGAAGTCTCAACTCCGGTCACCCTGCCATTATTTGGCCATTACCACGTCTGGGTCCGACCACATCTTTGGGGGTTGAGGCCAACGCTGCCTAATAGATAAAGTTGGCCACAACCGCGACTTCCTTCCGACTCCAACCCTACCCCAGCTCTGACGCTCATATGTTGCCATTAAAAACGCGTAACGTTTATGGGCTTTTATGATTGGAGCATGACAGACAGGAAGGGAAAAGAATAGGAGAGAATTTGGAGCAGGAGTTGGAGCACGAGCCAGAGCTGGAGCTGGTGCACAAAGAGAGTGACTTCAATGGGGAGATCCCTTAAAGTTTCCACTGAGTAAATTATGTTGTCGTGTCCGAAACAAGCCAAGCCTATCCCCAAGGATCTGGCAAACTGTGTCAGTCCATCCTGCAGATAGTACTCCTCCTGCCTCCCCTCCTTCAACTGGAGTAATTGGTTCTGCACTAAAGTCCGACCATTACAAATTGCGCTACATTCAAATTATGTAGCCACAATAATGTACATTTTATTTTATGAAAAGTGCTGGCAACGTGTCCAAGTCCATATAATAAACTTAACAAAAGCCTGTTGCCATAAGGTGTGGCTGATATATTCAACCGGGTTTGTCCGCTTTTTAGGTTGTATAAGTATAGTTTGATATAATTTAAGGGTTTTATTTAGAAAGAATCCTAGAGATTTGAAGTCAATTTAAATCCTTACGATAAATATGCTACAAATAAGGCAGAAAACAAGAAATGAAGTTAAGTTCGAGATGCCAAAGTTTGTATACCCTGCAATTTGGTTGGAATGTGCAAACGATCCTAACTCAGCTAATTTTCATTCGGAAAGCTTTCCTATATTAGTTTTTATTAGATTAAAAAATCTGCACTCAATTTAAAATTAAAAAATTTTCTAATTTTTGAAATTTTAACGATGTAACCCCTTTTAAAATTTCAAAAATTAAACAAATTTTGTTTTTTTTTTTGTCGGATATAGTTAGATCGATTCGGTTGTTGATGCTGATCAAGAATATATATGATTTATGGGGTCACAAATGACTTCTTCATAGAGTTTTAAGCTTCTGACTAAAATTATAATACCATTCTTTGAGTCAATGCTTAAAAAACTCATAACTAAGCCAAAAATGCATTAATTTTAACTCGGAAAGCGTTCCTATGTTAGTTTTTATGAGGTAAATAAATATGCATACTCAATTTAACATTTTAAAAAATTACAATTTTTGACCATTTTAACGAGTAACCCCTTATAAAAGTTTGAAAAGAAATGAAAAAAAAATCGAAAATTTATTTTTTACCATACATGGCTAGCACGATTCCGCTGTTGATCCTGATCAAGAATATATATGATATATAGGGTCGAAAACGACTCTTCACTGCGTGGCAAGCATCTGACTGAAATTATAATACTCTACCTCCAACAATTTTACAACTTGCAATACCTAATTAGTTGTTTTAATTAAAAGTTGAAACAAACACTTTATTCCCCTTAGATTTACCCAGCCATTCTTGAGAGTCCATTCTCCATTCCTAACACAATATATTCCACCTGCCAGGGGTTTATATATCAACCCAATTATTATTCTAAAACAATGTCCTTCCTAACTTAACTTGACCCACCATTCCCAACTTAAGCCTAACTTCGCCACAACACCTTGCTAATGACCTTTGCCCTGGGGATGCATTAAAAGGGTTTTTTTGGGTTGGTAATCCTCCTGCTCCGTTGGTTGGGGAATGTCAGGTCCCCCGAGAAAGTGTAAAACCCCAGCCTGACCTTGTGCGCAAATGAAAATGCTAATCACCAAGAGCGCATCCTTGGAGGGCATCGTGCTGCAATTTGCCAGGGGGTGGCCAAGATGCCAAGTGGAATTTAATTAGCGGTGGTCAGTAAATGCTAATGAAGCAACGTCTAATTTGTGTTCGCCCTTCCTTCCAGAACATGGCAGCGGGTGAGAAAGTCATCTATGTGGACAGGGACACGCTGGCGGCGAATGCTCACCTGGTATATGCGGTGCACAACGACTCATACGGACTATTTCATCCGGATTGTCACGCCTATGAGGCGGATCACACGGGCAGGCCGCACACCATCGTTAGTTGTCGTAAGTTTAGAGAGATCCTTTAGGGAATACGTACATATATAGAATATATATTTCCCTTTTCAGAACTCCGTTTTGTTCGCAGCGGAATGCTTCGTGAAACCCCTTATTGCGTCTCCCTGGAGGCCCGCGACCTCACCATTGTCACCCACAATGAGGCCATGTCTGCCACGGCCTACATTTGTTACCACGTCAACTTGGACAATCTTCATGAGACGGATCGCGAGGAGTTGCCCCAGGCGCTGCCCCTGAAGCAGCAGCAGAGATTCGATACTGATTTCGGCGGCGGAAGATCCCGGGGTCCTGTATCAGTGGACTACGTGAAGGATGTGTCTGTGTTCCGGACAGCATCGTCCTACTATAGAGTCACCCAGCCGGAGAGCTTCCAGCAGCTAATGAGATCTCGTTCGATTCGATTTGACATCGTGGAGGATCGCAGTGGAGCCTTTGGCATTACCCAGACATCGGGAATTATCTATGTGAAGAATCCCAAGGCTCTGGAAGAGGCACCCGAACGATATACTTCCTCAACATCACCTGGATAGACAAGGAGCGCCTGTCTCATGTCCGGGTGATCAACATACACCTGATCCATGGAAGGCCAGATAACACCAGCTGCGAATTAAAGATCAAATCAGGTTCGCAAACCTGCGCCCAGGTCAAGTACCAGTCGCAGTGCATCCGCTTTTGCGGCCTGGCCACCGGCGGAGGATCTTGTGAGTGGCGTGGCTCTCATGCCGCCATGTTTAGCACCAAGTTTGGGTCGTGTGTACCTGAAGCTCGACACTGTCCCGATCATGTTTGTGATCCCCTGGAGGAACTAAACCCTATGGCCTGTCCCCAAGACTGCACCTCGCACAATAATCTAATGGGCGCCCAGATAAGTAACGACAACAAGCTAGGCATCTACAGCGGATCGGGAACGTGCTTCTGTGAGGACAATGGCAAGTGTTCCTGCGCTCCTTTGGATGCGGAACCCAAGGCCAAGAAGTCACGTAAGCGGAAGAACGAGACAGACCCGGCGGAACCTATCCTGGAGAGGAGAGGAGGTGCCTTGGGAGACCCACCACAATCCCTGCAGGATCCCGTGCTTCTGGGTGTACTTAACGTGGCTGGCTTTGAGTGCGATCGCTCCTGCATGTTCTTTGTGATCAGTTGTCCCATGGTCTTTGTCCTACTGCTTCTCGGCCTACTTATTGCCCAGAGAAAGATGCTCAAGCGACGGCTGGGCAAGCAATCGATGATCCCTAACGGCAAGCTCTCCCTTCCCGAACCTGGTGACGGTGATCTGCCTCTAATGCCTCTCCAAGGTGGCTTCAAGTTCGAGAGTGGCGATGCCAAGTGGGAGTTCCCGAGGGAGAAGCTTCAGCTGGACACTGTCCTGGGAGAGGGAGAATTCGGCCAGGTGCTAAAGGGTTATGCTACCGATATTGCTGGCCTGAATGGAGTCACCACGGTGGCCGTGAAGATGCTCAAGAAGGGTGCCAACTCTGTGGAGTACATGGCTTTGCTCTCTGAGTTCCAGCTCTTGCAAGAGGTCTCGCATCCAAATGTTATCAAACTTTTGGGAGCGTGCAATCAATCCTCGGAGGCACCGCTCCTAATCATTGAGTATGCACGCTATGGATCGTTAAGAAGCTATCTGCGTCTTAGCCGAAAGATCGAGAGTGCCGGCGTGGACTTTGCGGATGGCGTGGAGCCTGTCAATGTCAAGATGGTGCTCACATTTGCCTGGCAGATCTGCAAGGGAATGGCCTACCTCACCGAGCTCAAGGTGGGTTTAAGATTGGCTTCTCCTAGATTCCTAGAGAAGATAATATAGGAATAAGACAGTTTCTTCAGGAGAGAGGGACAACTTTCATCAATACCCTTTTCTTTTAATTATATATTTATAGTTGGTTCATCGCGATTTGGCCGCCAGAAATGTCCTCTTGGCGGATGGCAAGATATGCAAGATCTCAGATTTTGGCCTAACCAGAGACGTCTACGAGGATGATGCCTACTTGAAGCGTTCAAGGGATCGTGTGCCTGTGAAGGTAAATTCAATCTAATAATCTATACCCCAATAACATGGTAAAATAATCATTCTTCATTTCCAGTGGATGGCTCCTGAATCCCTGGCCGATCACGTCTACACCAGCAAGTCGGATGTCTGGTCTTTGGCGTTCTCTGTTGGGAAGTAATCACTTTGGGTGCCTCGCCCTATCCTGGCATTCCTCCTCAGAATCTTTGGTCCCTCCTAAAGACAGGATATCGAATGGAAAGACCAGAAAACTGCTCGGAAGCGGTGTACTCCATAGCACGGACATGTTGGGCGGATGATCCCAATGCCAGGCCCTCTTTCAAGTTCCTGGCAGCGGAATTCGAGAAGCTGCTGGGCAACAATGCCAAGTATATAGATCTAGAGACGAATGCTGTCTCAAATCCTCTCTACTGTGGCGATGAATCCGCCCTGATGAGTTCCTCGGACTTGGGGGAACCAGAGTGTTTGGATCACCTTTGGTGTCCACCCAAAATAGCCTACGACATCCATGACCAAGGCACTAGCTATGACCAATCGGAATCGGAGATGCCAGCAGCATCAAGTGTTCCTCCAGGTTACGATCTGCCTCGCCCCCTGATCGATGCCAATGCCAAGGAGCAGGTCCTACGTTACGAAAACGATATGAGATTCCCGCTTAACATACGTAAGTCCAGTTGCTGCTCACCGAGTTACAGCAACATGAACAATGGGGCCAACGCTTTGCCGCACTACTCGGTGCCCGTGAAGAGGGGTCGCTCATATTTGGACATGACCAATCGGAGCCTTATACCCGACAATCTGGACAGCAGGGATTTTGAGAAGCATCTGTCCAAGACTATATCTTTTAGGTTTTCTAGCTTACTGAACCTCAAGGAGACAGCGGAAACAGGGTTGCCAGAACAGCTAGGAGGAGATGCTGTCTAGGTAGCACTTCCTGAAACCTGACCTTGTATAGGTTCCACATCCATTTAGTTCACATTTTATCTGCGCCTGCCTTTTAGTTCAAACTGTTTGTTGATTAGTTTTAGTTTATCAAATTTAGTCTCATAGCTTTATTCCGATGCCAAAACAAGGGATTCTAAACGAAACGAATGCCACTTCGAATATTACCCGACAGTTAGAGAAAGAATTAACCAAAGACAGCACTTGTAAATTCCGTTCTTAAGCTCTAATTTAAATATAAATAACTATCATAAATAAATAAACCTTAACTTGCCTAATTTAGTTGTAAGAAAAATCAAGTTTTGTAAAAATCCTACAAAATATGAGATAAAAAGTATCATATTTTAGATATATATTCAAGCCATTGCTATATATGTATAACTTGTGCTTCGAAAAGAGCTCCAAGATAGTGCCTGCTTGCTAAAAGGTTTTATGAAAAACATATTTGATAAAATAATGTATGTATAAGTTAAGAAACTAATGAGTCATGACCAGCTAAGTGTGATTTATCATTTTTAAAACTTTAGTAAACATTCCCAGAGTTAATTGCATTAAAGTCATTGATTTTTGCATTCAGTCACACATCTATGATATCAAATTTATTTAAAGGACTTTCACAATTATCATTACTGTGTACACCTGGTACATCTTTTCTGTATTTATAGCCTGCACCAACAGTCTCTCACAGGCACACAAATTTATATTTAAAAAAGAAAGCCTTGTACTTAATTATTTATGCCAAATAGCCATCAAAACAGACTGTAAATATTTGGTAATAAACTTTAAAATACATAAAATACATAAAATAACCCTAAACTATAAAAATAATAATCAAAATCTTGCCTGGTTTATTCCTCGTCGGGAACTAGCAGATTGAGATTGGCACTGTTGGCCACACTGCCCAGGAAGCACTCCTCATCACCACGCACAGACAGGGACTCGCGACCGGTAAGCACTTTCCTTTCTCGTATCATGGCCGCTCGTTCCCATTTGGAACCCTTGCAGTTTTTGCAGCTCTGTTTGGGTAATTTGAATACTGTGGCGGTACGATTCCCACAATCTTTGCACTGGAAGAAACGCTTTCGGCATCAACCACCTTCAGGGATGTTTCTCCTCCTTGCACCGATCGGCAGCCGAGAAGGCAGTGTATTTACACACTTGGCAGATGACGGCCTTGCAGGGCATCTTGTAAGTGCTCAGCATCTTCTCTTCCATGGCCTCCTTGCGCTCCAACTTGTTAAAGTACTCTTCCTGTGCCTCACGCTCTCGCATCTCCACAAGATTTGTGTGCGTTGAGGTGGCAGCCATGATCTTTTCGATGCGAGATTTACGCATTAGTTCGCGATCCTCTTCCTCAATCTTCTGACGCTTGGCGCTGTTCGAGAATTTCTCATTGAGCTCATCGATGGCCCGCCTTTTGCCCGTTTCCGTGCCCCTTGTGGAGTTGGGATTGACTTTCTCTAGAGGCTTCTTTTTTAGCAACGCTGCTGCCTTCATTTTGGCGCTGGCAGCCTGCCTTGGGCCCACATTAATTTCAAAAGAAAAGTTCTCGCTGCCTGAAAGCTTGGGCGTTAGGCTGGCATCGAATGAGAAGCCGCGATTCTTGAACTTATCCGGCACTGGTGTAATGGGTGTGGTGGGTGTACTTGGCGCATCTCTACTGGGTGTTGTCTGACTAGTTCCTCCTCCTAGAACCTGACCCTTTGCCGCTTTTTCCTTTTCAAAACGCTCATTTTCCGCTTTCAGCAGACGCAATCGTTCAAGATCTTGGTATCGCTGCTTACTTGGAGCCTCCACACCGCCGGCCATGCGGGAAACGGGCCCGGTTCGCTCGGCATATGGCACTTGTGGCTTCTCTGCTGTCTTGGGTTTAGAGGCATGATCAACAGCATGGGCAAAAGGTGAGACATCGTAGCCAGCCAGCTTGCTCAGACGATCGCGTTCCTTGTTGATCAGTTTAGCGCTCTTCTTGGCGGGAACAGCGGTAAAGGCTTGGCCGCCATAAAACACTTCATTTTTACCTATTTTAAACAAAAAGCCTATAAACGTTGATGATATTAAGTACCTTGTTTTACACACTCACCCAACACCTTATTTCTTAGCTCGTTAAGGCCACGTCCAGCGGTAGCAGACTGCAGTTCGGAACGGCGGGACATCTTGCCGTATTCCTGCTTCACATGAAACACACAATAGTCGCAATCGGTGGCGTTGACAACCGATGTGCACTTATCTCCGTTCTTTTTCGTGGCTCGACAGGTGCCCAAATCCTTGCTTTGTCCAAGGATCATCACTTTCTGGGAGGTGTCAATAGAGAGGCATGCCACATCAGAGCTACCGGCTTTCCTCTCAAATACTGTGGGATTCAATACAGCCAAGCACATGCCCTCAGCCGTCTTCCACAGCGACTTGTGCGCCTCCCTGAAGAGGAAGATTGATATGGTCTTGATTTCGCCGCGAAGATCGGAAAGTTTCCACGTTGAGAAGGCATCGCCTTTCTTGGTGTTCTTCACAGGGCTCTTAGAGACTAGAGCTCCCGCGATAACCCAATCCTTGGCCAGGTCACCACGCTCTATGTGAAAGGCTACACCGGCAAAGGGCACCGATTTCCTGCCAGCCATGCGCTCCTGGAGGAGTGAGCTCGAGATTAACGGATTTATCATGCGCAGTCCAAAAACCGGATCTGTATAAACAGCAGAAGCGGGAGCACTTGATTGGGATGACGAGGACACGGCAGCCGCAGCTGTGGGTGGCCTCTGAAACGAGCTGCTCACCGCAGACTGGCGCTTGATGGGATTGTGGGGATTCTTTAGCGGCGGCTGTGGTGTGGAGGTAACCATCTTGGTGCTGCTCGCCTTCAGGGCCTGATCCACTTCCCTGGCCACCCGGGACTCGTGGGCGTTCTCCCGCTGCTGCTTCAGGCTCTGGTTGATGTCACTTCCGTATTCATTATACTTGCGTTCCAGGAAATTCTTGACATCCTCGTCGTCAGAAGAGTCCACCTCCGGCTCCTTCGCGCCCACTCTTACCTCCTTAATGGACTTCTTCGCTGGCTGGACTGTTTTCTCATAGCTGAATGCTTCCGCAAAACTGCTGTCTTCCCTCAGTTTAGGCACTGCGTTGGCCAAAGTGGGTTTCTCCGGCTTTTCACTTTTCGCTGCGTTTGCATTGTCGTCTTCCGCTGCGCCCAGCAGTTTCTCCAACGCCAGTATCTCGTCTTCATCGTCGATGCTAAGATCTGGCTGCGACGCATTTGTGGGACTCATTATATTGACGTTGTCTTCAGTTTTTCACTTGTTTTATTAGTTTTTCATCGAGTTTTTCTAAATCCGCGGAAATAAATAACTTTTTGGCGGGATCAGTGAACACACTTATTCAGTTCTCTAAAACGGCTAGCTAATGGAATTAACCAACACTGAATTGAGAGGCACTTGTGCTGTAGAATGCTTGAATTTTTAAACGATATGACGCCAATTTATTTATTAAATGCAACACTACAATTTAGTTTATTCTAAAACATTGTTTGTTTGTTTCTTACAACATTCACATTAGAATTAATTAATTAATCACAGGCATACAAGCTAGTAAGCACAACCGATATATCGGTTTGGTATTTTTTACTTTTCTATCCACACATCCGTATTTTTTCTCATTAAGCCGCAACCCACATTTTTTCGCTTCCATGTTTCGGTCATACTGCTCGTCAATAAGTCATCTTTCGGCTTTAATTCACGAAAAATTGCAAAAAAGGAAATAAAAGAGCCAGAAAGCTGCCAAATAGCCGCCGTTAAAGTGGCCGAACAAGTGTGTGAATATTAGTGGTGCAAGAAGTAGCCTGCAAACACAAGCAGCCGTGGAAAAGCTGAAAAGCAGAAAGGTAGCAGCAGCAGCAGCCGAAGAAAGAGGAAAAGAGTGTGGCGAAGAGAGAGGAGCGCCCGGGGGACGACGACCGCCAACAACGGATCGCGTACTAGTGTTTAAGCATAAAGTTTTCCGCCCGCGCCCCGCCCACTTCTGGAACCGCCTGCCAGGCCACAGAGCAGAGAGCAGGTAAGAAAGGACGAACGGATTTGTCGCGGAGATATCTGGCCCCGGCCAGGCGGCTCCACAGCTGCACCACCCACACAGCATCGCACCGCCCCACCGCTCACTCCATTCCTAGTAGTTTGTGCGAATATTTAACGGCTTTAACCGCATTTTTTGCCATTCTCGCTGATTTATTTTGCAAACATTTTGCATCTCGTGGCCATTTTGTGGTTATAAGCGCCGCTTGCAGGCGGCTCCACGTGTATTGGTGTGTGTGTGTGCTTCGTTGGTGTGGTGTGGCTTTGTATTGGGTTACAAGCACACCACGAGGAGGCCTCCCGTTATTATTATTGTTGTTGTTGCCTCTGATAACCTCTGGCTTGTTATCAAAAGATAAGGGAAGGGGAAAGGGGCGACAGAGAGCCGAGGGGGAGTGGCAGCGTGCAGCTTACATCACAGGCTTCGCATTGCATCGGTGACCTAATGCACCCTTAACCCCGGGAGTCGGCTCGTTTTGCTCGTTGTGAAAAATCTAAGAAAACTTGCAGAGTTGCCAAGACATTTGTGTGTTTTTTGATGTCTTTGGCCGTTTTTTGTTGTTTATTTTTGTGTCATTTTTCTTGCGCATTTCTTGGTTCCTCCTTTCCATTTCCTTTCTCTGTTTTCGTTTATCGTACGTACGCACTTCTCTTTTCTATTCTCTCTAGCCGCTCTCACTCTCATTTGCCGTTACGCTGCTTACGCTCTTTCCTGCATTTTCGCCTGTCATCTGGCGGTCAGTAGCCGGCAGCCCCCCAACCCCACACGCCTCCTTCTTGTCATTCTTTCCTTGCAAATTGTATTTTATAATATACGAAATATGTATGTTCGAAAACACAAGCTGTTTGGTTAGGAGAAGCTTTTAATACCCTTTGAAAGGTGAGACTATATATTATGAAAGAAGTTCAAGATCTCTTTGAACTCGGTCAGAGTATCTCTCGATAATAAAATACCGTTTTGAAAATAGCCAGGTTATGGAACTATGATGTTATTATTTTATAATGGACAAAATAGGTTTTTACCTAAATTTAAAAAAAACTGTAATCTATTAAATTATAATAATAACTAAAAAAAAAACAGAACAGTATTATATCCTCAAAAGTACTTAAAAAGGTTCTATTAGTTGATTTTAGAGGTATCCTAGAGAAATATTTCTTTCCTCAGTACCAAAAGTCTTAATAAATTCTTCATAACTTTTGGAAAGTGTATACAAATCACAATCGCCGTCGCCACACAACCTCAACTCATTTTTCGTAGGCGTCGCCTGTTTTCGGCCTTCCTTTTTTTTTCGCTTGCTCGCTTGTATTTTTCGCATTGGAGTTTTCTTTACACTTTACCACTTTCCAACCATTGCTGAAGCACACATTTCAACGTTCTGTGACGGAATATTGTTTGCCAATGTTTGTTGTCTACCGTAGAGCGTCCTCCAGGGTCCGCTGCATGTTGAATGTTTCTGCGAGTGCTCCACAAGATATTGCCGGTATGTGAGCCACTCTACCCCCCACTAATCCCACCGAGAACCCTTAGCGTAACCTCCAACTTTACCCACCTCCTCCTAGCCCAGTCAGCTTTTAGCCTTGTGTCTTTAGATTCAATTGCAGCAGCAGCCACAATTGGAGCATAAATAAGCGATAGAGACGACCCCAGCTAGCCAGTCGAGATTCAGTCTTTGTTTTGGCAATTACCAACCAGAAGCTGACACTGACACAAACAACATTTTGCTCTTTTTTCAGTGCTGCAACGATAAAGAAATGAACTCAAACATATTTCTGGGCACAGCGGAGAACGGCCTGCGGCACGATAAGGTTGTTATACTCGATGCGGGAGCACAGTACGGCAAGGTGAGCTTATTCCCAAAAACCAAAAGTTACCAAATTAAAAAAGAATATATAAAGTTTTAATAATGCTAATGGTCTTTATTTCAGGTTATCGATCGCAAGGTCCGAGAACTGCTCGTCGAATCGGACATCCTGCCACTGGACACGCCAGCGGCCACGATACGCAACAATGGCTATCGCGGCATCATCATATCCGGCGGTCCCAATTCCGTTTATGCCGATGATGCCCCCAGCTACGATCCCGATCTGTTCAAGTTGAAGATACCCATGCTGGGCATCTGCTATGGCATGCAGCTGATCAACAAAGAGTTTGGAGGCACAGTGCTCAAGACAGATGTGCGAGAGGATGGCCAACAGAACATTGAGATTGAGACGTCGTGTCCACTGTTCAGGTGAGCACTAGTACTACATAGTATATAGTGGCAGCAACAAGAAAGTGCTTGAGTTGATTGAGTCTAGTTAAGCGCTGATACAATGCTGCCAGAGAAATCTCAATACCAAGAACAGTTCAGTTTAGTTTAAGTCTATAAACTGATCTACACGTGGTCTTACATATCCTTTCCTACATCTTTTGATATTTATTCAACATTTTTGGCTTAATTATAATGAAAATATCCTTTGCTCTTTCAACAGTCGCCTCAGTCGCACACAGTCCGTATTGCTAACTCACGGCGATAGCGTGGAGCGAGTGGGCGAGAAGCTGAAAGTTGGTGGCTGGTCAACGAATCGCATTGTTACGACCATTTACAACGAGGTATTGCGTATCTATGGCGTCCAGTTCCATCCGGAGGTCGATCTCACCATCAATGGCAAACAGATGCTATCGAATTTCCTGTACGAGATCTGCGAACTAACGCCCAACTTCACCATGGGCAGCCGGAAGGAGGAGTGCATACGGTATATTCGAGAGAAAGTGGGCACAAATAAAGTGCTGGTGAGTAGCAAATACATTTAATCTTCACAGAGAGTTGCATTTCTAAGTGAAAATATCTATACCTTTTTGTAGCTGCTGGTCAGCGGGGGCGTGGATTCCAGCGTCTGTGCAGCCTTGCTACGCCGTGCCCTGCATCCTAATCAGATAATTGCCGTGCATGTAGATAATGGTATGAATTAGGGTTAGAAATGGCAAACATAACAATTTATATAGATAAGAAAAAAAAAACATTTTCGGCAATTGTATGATTTTTAAAATCTTAGGTTAATTAATTAATTGTATTATTTATTCGTAAACATATTCTAGGGTAAAGTTACTTAAGTCTGTCGACATAAACTTGCCCAGTACAAATTTCAACCAAGATTATGCCGTATTTTATGACGAGTTTATGTCACCGTCACCCCTGTTTTAGGCTAGTTTATCAATAAGGTTTTTCTTCAAAGACACTTGATTAATCTTAAATCGTTAATTTCACAGGTTTCATGCGCCAGAACGAAAGTGAAAAGGTGGAGCGTTCACTGCGCGATATCGGTATCGAGCTAATCGTTCGCAAGGAAGGCTATACGTTCCTCAAGGGCACGACGCAGGTGAAGCGGCCCGGTCAATACTCGGTGGTGGAGACGCCCATGCTCTGTCAGACCTACAATCCGGAGGAGAAGCGTAAGATAATCGGTGATATATTCGTCAAGGTGACCAATGATGTGGTGGCCGAACTGAAACTGAAGCCCGAGGAGGTGCTACTTGCCCAGGGAACGCTCCGACCGGATCTGATTGAGTCTGCCTCGAATATGGTCAGCACGAATGCAGAAACAATCAAAACGCATCACAATGACACGGATCTGATTAGGTAATAAATATAATTTATTTTAACTAGAGTAACTAACTCTATAAATTAACCAAAGGGAACTTCGGAATGCGGGACGTGTTGTTGAGCCACTGTGCGACTTCCACAAGGATGAGGTGCGCGACCTGGGCAACGATCTGGGCCTGCCACCGGAGCTGGTGGAGCGACAGCCTTTCCCAGGTCCTGGACTGGCCATACGCGTGCTCTGCGCCGAGGAGGCTTTCATGGAAAAGGATTACTCGGAGACTCAGGCAAGTTAAGAAAGAAAAACAACGATTTTGAAACTAACTAAATTATTACTTTAGGTCATTGTACGGGTGATTGTGGACTATAAGAATAAGCTGCAGAAGAACCATGCTCTGATCAACCGGGTAACGGGAGCCACCAGCGAGTCGGAGCAAAAGGATCTGCTGCGAATCTCTGCCAACTCACAGATCCAGGCCACCCTGCTGCCCATCCGATCGGTGGGGGTGCAGGGCGACAAGCGCTCCTACAGCTACGTAGTGGGTCTGTCCACCAGTCAGGAGCCCAACTGGCAGGATCTGCTCTTCCTCGCCAAGATAATACCACGCATCCTGCACAACGTCAACCGTGTATGCTACATCTTTGGCGAACCCGTGCAGTATCTGGTGACGGATATAACGCACACCACACTTAATACCGTGGTGTTGGCGCAGCTACGGCAAGCCGATGCCATCGCCAATGAGGTGAGAATATCTCTATAGGATGCCTATAGGGTTTTTACTAATCCTTATGTTTCTTAATCCTAGATCATCATGCAAGCTGGACTGTATCGGAAAATTTCACAGATGCCTGTTGTTCTCATACCTGTGCACTTTGATCGCGATCCCATCAACCGTACGCCCTCCTGCAGAAGATCGGTGGTGCTGCGTCCCTTCATCACGAACGATTTCATGACAGGAGTACCCGCTGAGCCCGGCTCCGTGCAACTGCCATTGCAAGTGAGTGAATCTCTCAGCAAGTCTCGAATTGGTTTATTTTATCCATTCATTTACGCCCCGACAGGTCCTTAATCAAATTGTGCGCGATATATCCAAGCTGGATGGAATCTCGAGGGTCCTGTACGACTTGACAGCCAAGCCGCCGGGCACTACCGAGTGGGAATGATGCGTTCTAGCCAAACCAACTTTCAACAGCCATTTCATAGCAGTAGACGAGGGACAAACAATAATCAAGCAACCAACCAATAAGCGGCGGGCGCTCGAGAGCCGATCGATGGAACGATCTTAGCCTTCTCGGGGCCAAGCGCAGCTGCTCCTGCCTTTAAAGAGACACGTAAAACGAGAGCAATTGAGATACACAACTAGAGAGGAGTAGGTGAGTGCCACTTGGCGGAGAGAAAGATTGAAAAAAATTCAGGTTCATGTAATATCGATCGTGTCTGTGTAATTAATGAGAAATTAAACGACGGCAAACAATTTGCCTCGCTAAAAATAACAATTATAATAATACATAATGTACATTTTCATGTTTTGTTCCTTTTGTGAAAAGGAATGTGCACACACACACACACACACACGTAACCAACAATTATTTTACGCATTTTTTAGTTATACATATAAATAAAAATTATATATATATATATTATATACAGATACAGATATTAAATAATTGCGAAACAAAAACAAATTCAATTCTGAAAATTGTATAGATGAACAGAGGAGTGTGTGTAACTGCAAATGGCATAAAGAAAAAAAAGATTGTAAGAGTACGAAACAAAAATATTCTAAGTTAAAATTATGAATTGTTATATAAAAAACGTCTATATTTAAAGAATGGCATGCAACCAGGAAAAAAACAACAAAGCGATTATGATGATACAAGAAATGTAATAAAACGAAAAAGCTATTTAAACGTGTTTCGCCTTCAGCTTGGGCTTCTCCCTGGCCACGTGTTGATGGTCCACACCACTGGTGATCTTTTGCATCTTCTTGAAGGCTTCATGTGTCAGAATCAGTGAAGTGCAGTGATGATTCCTCAAAACATCGAGCTTGGCTATCTTTTCGGTGAGTTTAGCTTCAGATTTTGGCTTCTCCTTAATGGGTCTCGCGTGCTTCAATGGAATCTTTTCCAGAGTAACACCCGAGGATGGGGCTTTCAAGGGCTGTTTGTGATTTTTAATACATTACCAGTAAGTTCACCAAGAAAAATCATTTGACTTACGATCTCCCTATGTGGAACGTCTTTTTCTCGAGAAAAAATGTGATTCAGGAAATGTAGGTGATCCTTGTAGGTCAGCTTTGAACTAAAGTCTTCACCCATAGACTTGGCCTTCTGCTCTTGGACACGTTCCAGGTCGACATTATAGCGCAGCCTATGTATTGCATGCTTCCAGAAATCCGGCGGGGAATTGGCTTGCATTTCATCAGCAATTGCCTCCCAGATCTTGGCCTTGTGATCGAAATTGAAGAAGTCCTTGTGACACTCATTCCACAAGCATTTATGGTCGCCATAAAGGGCAATCAACTTCAATTTGAGTTTGGAACTTTTCAAAAGCTTACGACTTGGTTTAAAGAACACACCGCTATCACTCGTGGAATCGCTGACCTCCGAGTCCGTGACAGTAATCATAGATGTGCTGCTAGGGCTTCTGTAACTCATTGTGGCGGCTAATAATTTTGTTTTACTAAAATTTTAACATAAGTGAAATACAGAATTCTATTGACATATAACTTGTTCAATTCAAGTAACTGGGTGTAATTCTCACCGAGTGTCATAACACCCACAATCTTTTGTTTATTCATTTAATTGTTAACAATTATAATAACATCCGTGGTTTAATAAGAATTAATCATAGATGGGTTCATCCTTAGAGCGTCTTACTCCATTCAGAAGAGCATTCTTAAGAACAAACAGCAGAGTTCCCATCCTGGGACTAAAACAAACCTCTGACTAATTGATATTATGCTTTATTTTCGACTACATAATATAATTATAATATCAACACGCTGTTGTGCTTATATCTTATAATTGATACAATAAGATAATCAATGTGAAAATAAAGTGGGGGCATAGGGATGTGGCTCTTATTGTCCGTTTTAAGGTTGTTTTTGTGTAAATAAAAGATTCGTTTAAATACGTATTACACTTTGAGTTTTATTCGCACTAAATCATCATGTTTATCATCATCGTCGAGGCAATCTGCAGAGCTTTTCTGGACAAATTCGCAAAGAACAAGTATATAGCAAGAATTAAAAATAATAATGTTTGTGTATAATTATAGGTATATATAAAAACTTTTACAAATTCTCGCCATCGCTCGCGGTTACACTTTCGAAAAAACGTCACACTTTTCGGTTTACTCAAAATAAAAATATCTAAACAATTTGCAAAAAAATTGAATAACAATACCATAAACTCGATTGCTTGCGTTGAGTGTGAGTGTATCTTCGCCGGGGTCTGCTGGGACAGAGGTCTTAAGTAGCTTCACGGACCACATTTACTGGGCCAGCTCCTTCATGCGGTTGAGGGCGCTGCCAGCCTTGAACCAGCCAATCTGCAGGTCGTTGAGGGTGTGGTTCAGCTTGATCTTCTCGACCTTGTCGCCGTTCTTCACCTCGCAATCAACGGGCTTGCCGGGTGCCAGGGACTTCAGGTTAAGCAGGGAGATCTTGCTCGTGGGCTGGATCTGTAATTTAAATAATTTTAAAAATAAGTTACAACCCCTCAAAAGCCTTTACAAACATACCTTATCGTAGTCAGCGGGATTGGCGAAGGTCAGAGGCAGCATACCCTGCTTCTTAAGGTTGGTCTCGTGGATACGTGCAAAGGACTTGACAATGATGGCGCGGCCACCCAGATGACGGGGCTCAAGGGCGGCATGCTCGCGGGACGAACCCTCACCGTAGTTGTCGTCGCCGACAGCAACCCACTTGATGCCATTGGCCTTGTAGTCGCGGGCCACGTCGGGAACTCCACCCCAGGTGCCGTTGCGCTGGTTCTTGATGTTGTTCATCTCATTGTTTTCGTAGTTGGTGGCACCAATGAACATGTTGTTGGAGATGTTGTCCAAATGACCACGGTACTTCAGCCAGGGACCGGCGGCGGAGATGTGATCGGTGGTGCACTTTCCCTTCACCTTGATCAGCACGGTCAAGTCGGTCAGATCCTGGCCGTTCCACTTGTCGAAAGGCTCCAGAAGCTGCAGGCGCTGCGACTTGGGATCCACAGCAACCTTAACATTGTCGCCGGACTAAGAAAATCGGAATATAAAATCAATACAGAAAACTAGGATGAGGAAATGTATAACTCACCGATGGAGGAGCGGCATAGGTGTCCTGGCCGGGATCGAAGCCCTTGGCGGGCAGCTCATCGCCGAAGGGAGCCTTCAGCTTGAACTTCTTGCCATCGGAGCCGGTGAGCTCGTCAGTCAAGGGGTTGAAGTCCAAACGACCGGCGATGGACAGAGCGGTGACCAGCTCGGGACTGGTGACGAAGCAATGGGTGGCCGGGTTGGCATCGTTCCTGCCGGTGAAGTTACGGTTGTACGAGGTGACAATGGTGTTCTTGTCGCCCTTCTTCACGTCCTTGCGATCCCACTGTCCAATGCAAGGCCGCAGGCATTGGCCAGCACGGTGCCGCCGAACTTGTCGAACACCTCAGAGATGCCATCACGCTCAATGGTAGCACGGATCTGTTCCGATCCAGGCGTCACGTTAAAGGGGATCTTTGACTTCAGGCCGTGGCTCATGGCATCCTTGGCGATGCTGGCACAGCGACCCATATCCTCGTACGAGGAGTTCGTGCAGGAGCCAATCAGACCCACGCGGATGTCCAAGGGATAGCCGTTCTTCTTGGAGTTATCGCCCAGCTTGCTGATGGGATGGCCCAGATCGGGAGTGAAGGGTCCGTTGACATGGGGCTCCAGGGTATCCAGGTTGATCTCAATCAGTTCATCGTATTCGCAGTTCTTGTCGGCGGACAGGATCTTGCCCTGATACTTCTGCGCCTCAGAGGCGATGCCGCCGCGTCCGGTGGACTTCAGGTAGTCGGCCATGCGCTGGTTGAAGGGGAACAGTGAGGTGGTGGCACCAATCTCAGCACCCATGTTGCAAATGGTGGCCATGCCTGTGCACGAGATGGAGTCGACACCCTTGCCGTGGTACTCGATGATGGCGCCGGTGCCTCCCTTAACGGTGAGGATATCGGCCACCTTCAGGATCACATCCTTGGGCGAGGTCCAGCCACTGATCTTGCCGGTGAGATTGACACCGATCACCTTGGGGCACTTCAGCTCCCAGGGGATGTCGGCCATAACGTCGACGGCGTCAGCGCCACCGACACCAATGCACAGGCCACCCAAACCACCGCCATTGGGCGTGTGGGAGTCAGTGCCGATCATCAGCAAGCCGGGGAAGGCATAGTTCTCCAGGATGATCTGATGGATAATGCCGCTGCCGGGCTTCCAGAAGCCCAGACCGTACTTGGCGCAGGTGCTGGCCAAAAAGTCGTACACCTCCCTGTTCAGGTCCTTGGCGCGAGCCAAATCCTTGGGTCCACCGACCTGGGCCTCGATCAAATGATCGCAGTGCACTGTCGATGGGACAGCCACCTTCTTCAGGCCGGAGGAGATGAACTGCAGCAGGGCCATCTGGGCGGTGGCATCCTGCATGGCCACGCGATCGGGACGCAGACGCAAATAGGATGTTCCGCGCACGATGTCCTGGTTGGCCGGATCGTCCAAATGCGAGTACAGCACCTTCTCGGAGAGCGTCAGCGGCCGGTTAAGGCGACCACGGACCACATCCAGGCGCTTGTTCAGCTTCTCGTACGGCAGGAAGACGTCCGAGTCGAACTTGGACAGGGCCACCTTGGAGGCGGTGTAGCAGGAGGCGTGGAACTGGCGCACCACTGGGCCATCGGCCACCACATGCTTGCCCAATCGGCACACCTGAAACGGAAGAGCAGGGAATGAAATATTGTAACCCCTGGTGTGAGTTTATCTTATCTTATTTATTATTATAAAAATGTTAAACATTTATGTAATTCAAATATTATTTATGTATATAAGAAAATCAAGAGACTATATATTACAAGTTAAGGCCGTTCTAAAGAGCCTTTTTCTTAAGAACATCTGAGGTATTATATGAACATTGCCTTTCTTAAATTAATATTTAAAGAAAGGTTTGATTACTGAATTACTTTCAAAATTTTCCCCTCTCAGTGTCAGAATAAACAAATCAAGATCAATCAATTAGCACTTAGTCACAAAACATAATTTAATTGTCATGAAAAGTACAGTGATGTCTCCCTAATTTAAGAAATCTAAATCATATTTATCAGCTAAAATATGGTTTTCTGGGGGACAGACCGTACTCCTGCTGATTTGATTGATTCGATTGTTTGGCAGCCGTAATAAAAACACTTGATTCTCATGTCACGGGCCCTCTCACATTAATTAGATTGAAACTGCTTTATCAGGAAATGTTCAAATCTCAATTAGCAGTGATATTTAGAAGATGATGACGCTTCGGACAAAATAAAGCAGAGATTAAAGGTTGCACTAAAAACTACTATAATTTGATGATTAATCTAAGTTCCGCAAAAAATAAATAAAATGCTTTTTTGTTTTGTTTGTTTCCCAATAATAAACTGCATGGGTAATACATCTTTGTTATCTACGCTTTAAAAAGAAACCTATTTTTAAAGATATTGTGTGAAACAAAAAACTCGACAATGCCTATTAGGTACTTGGTAAGCGAGTGTTTTATTTTGGATGTCATAAATTTAAGCTACTTAATTTCAAGTACCTCTCTGGGAGATTTTTTTCTTTGTGGGTTTGTTTTCTTTTTCTAGAATTTCTGAAAATATTTCAGGAAGTTGTGGAAATTTTGTAGGGTCTCAGAAGTTGTTTGTTTTTATACCTCTGCAGCGTATTTTAATTTTAGTTGGAAGCTTAAAACGCTATGAAGGAGTCATTTAGGACCCTATAAAGCATATATATTATTGATCAACATCAATACATAACTCAATCTAGCCATGTCCGGCCGAAAAAATGTTTAAAATTTTTTAATTTAAAAATTTCAAAGGGGTTAAAATGTTAAAAAATTTGTAAAATTTTAATTTTTATTAAATTATAAATTGAGTATGCAGATTTATTAATCTAATAAAAAATAACATACGAAAGCTTTTTAAACTTGGTCGATTGGTTGAAAAAATTGTCATATTAAAATATATATTCAAAGAATTTGATTTGGTTCGATCATATAGTTTAATTGCAAACTGCAAGGATATCAACATCGCCTTCCCGAAATTTTCTTTTTTTTTTGTTGAAAAAGTCAATTACAACACGTAACATATCTGGAACTTTTTGAAATAAATAAAGATCAGACTTAATCTAATCTTAATAATAATTATTCTTCAGAATTTATGACTTTATGGCCATTACTAGGAGCTATGGAAATTTTTATAAAAAATGTTTATGTTATATAACTGTATTTTGCGATAAAATAAATGAATATATTTATTTACCTTTTTAGAAAATATTAAAAAAAACGTATAAACATATTTATTTATTGAAAAAATCGATTTCTTTTCGGAACAATTAATTTATTATTTTAAAGAAATGCAATTTTTGTATTTATTTTCATGAAGAAACTCTAGAAAAAAACGACAAATAAGTAATTACTCGAGAACATAGCAATAATATTTATAGAGAAAACAGCTGTGAAAAGCTAAATAGTTTTTGCATAGATAATGTCCACTTAAAGACCCCTTAAATGGCAATATATTACAAATTTGTTTATAGCTGCAGCCACTGCAATGCATTCGAATTAACCAGAGCCACGTGACGCAGCCAAACAAAAGGGAATAATTACGTCAAATAGGTCATTAACTTGTTGTCAAGTTTGCGAATACCCAGTACAGTGAAGTCTTCTGGCCGTGGAAAAACCCCACTCGACGAGGGGCAATGCACGGTCCTCGCTCCAGTCCCCCCCCCCACCTGTGCGCGTGATGACCGAGTTGGAGAACAGTATTAATTTAAGCTATAATTTTAGTACGGAACACTATCGGAGTGTAAGTAAACCTGTCACAGATAAGACGAAGCTGCTGTTGCCCCCAGAAGATATATGCTATGGGCTCCTGGTTAAATAACTGCTTATGTAAATGGGCAGTGCATCCGGACCGCAGCGAATCTCTGCTAATTGGTGAATGCTCTCGTTTTCACGGATGCTCCAGATCTCTGCCCTGGACGCAGGGGCAAGCGTCGCAGCCTGGGACGGTAGCCGAGAATCACAATCACAATGTACGTACACTCGGTTACCTAACAACTTTTGATTTCGTTTTTAGGTTAGAAAAGCGCTGTGCGCAAAATATTCGCGACTCTTTGCTGCCTAACTTCCTTCGCTAATTGCTTAAAATCTGCACATGGATTGCCATTAATTTTTTGCGTATTTTTCGCAGTGTTCCAGTCTTTATCAGGGGTCACAGCACAGCTTTGATTTCAGGTGTTTATATATAGTTTTTTTTTTTTTCGTTGAATTTTGCACGCCCGATGGAGGCGGGTGGCTCCAGAACAGAACGTACCTGTGCCTGGGCGCTCATCAGTCTTGCAGCCATGGTTCGCGTCCTATTTAGGCGATACTCAAATACGTGTGACACTCGTTGGAATTGATATTTCAGCACAACACTCAAGCCCTCATCAAAATTTTCAGCCCTCTCAGCCGGAAGATTTTAATGCAGACTGAAGTCGCAAGCAGTGCCAGTGCTGCCAAGCCCCCAAAATATCGAACAGGGGTGATTTCCTTAAGGCGCTTAACAGCACTGGCTACTCCCATTTGTTTGCGTGAGCGGGCGAGTGACAATTCCCAACAACTGTGCGAATAATAAATAAGTTCGGATGGGAAAATGTTTGGCCAAGCGCAGTCGGCACTAGTCCTGACCCAAACGCGATGTCCGAGCGTCGAGGTGTGCACGAGATACCCGGGGAGTACCAGCCAGTGCCCAGACAACCCAGCCTAGGAGGAGAACCAACTGCATCCACTTCGTGCTGCCGGCGTCCCAATTGCAATTATCAAATCCGGAATGGGCAGAAGGTTTGCTGCTGCTGCGGCCACGGCTACATCATACCCGTGTTTATACTCTTCGTCTTGGTGATGATTGTCCTGCTGTTGCCGTGGGAGACCATCCACCGAAACGAGACCGCAAAGAGCCCCGTGCCCGTGGACACCCCGTTGCCATGCCAACTCGAGGTGGTGGAGAGCCTGCCTATCGGACTGAACTACAGCAACGTTGAGGGTACCCACCCTCGTCTGAGGAGCACATTCGAGGCTTGGCAGCTGCTGCTGAGCAGGGCAAAGACATCGCTGGACATAGCCGCGCCCCACTGGACTTTACGGGGAGTGGATGTCAACGACAGCAGCACCGAGCCCGGCGACCACCTCTTTCAGCGTTTGCTGGCCAACGGGGATGTGGGTAGACCAAAGCTGCGCATGCGAATCGTGTTAAACCGCAGCCAGGACAGTCTGTGGCATGCCGATGCCCGAATCCTGTCCAACTACGGAGCAGCGGAGGTTGTGGGAATCAATTTCCTAGGTTCGAAGCTATGGCTGGCAGACGGCGAGCACTTCTATCTTGGCAGCGCTGACATGGACTGGCGTTCGCTCACCCAGCGCAAGGAGCTCGGTGTCCTGGGCAGGAATTGTCCGCATATGGCGCAAGATCTGGCCAAGATCTTTAAGACCTATTGGTACCTGGGCAACAATGAGGTGCCTGACTACTGGCCCTGGATCTATCAAACGCACATCAATCAACGGCGGCCACTGCTGCTGAACATTAATAAGAACCACACAATGCGTGCCTATCTGGCCACTTCACCACCTGGACTCTCGCCCACTGGCAGGACCCACGAGCTGGATTCAATTATAGGCGCCATCGATTCGGCCACCGAATTTGTATCTATATCCTTAATGGATTACTCACCGATATTGAGGAGCGGCAAGAAGGTGGAGTATTGGCCTTACATCGACAATGCCCTGCGGAGAGCTGCCTTGGAGAGGAGTGTGGCCATCAAGCTGCTCATTTCTTGGTGGAAGTACTCGGATCCGAGCGAGGATTTTTTCCTGAGATCACTGCAAGCGCTAAACAAGATGCGGGAGGAGGTAGACATACAAGTGGCAAGTGTAACTAAGTAGTCGCCAAATATATTAGCTTATGGTGTACCTTTTTTTAGCGCCGCTTTGTTGTGCCCACCACCGATGGGCTGGAGAAAATCTCCAGCGGAAGAGTCGCCTCCAATTCGTACCTGGTCACCGATGAAATAGCCTTTATAGGATCTGCCAGCTGGTCAGGCGAGCGTTTTATGTACTCAGCGGGAGTGGGGCTTCTCCTACAGGACATGGACTCCAACAACAACAGCTTGCGATCCGATTTGCTGACCATTTTCCAGAGAGATTGGTTCAGCCCCTATGCTGTGCCCCTGAAACCGAATTTGCGAATTTGAATCTAGCTGTCAAACAACACTTTGCAACACTGCCCAGCAGCCATCAGCTGTTCATGTCATAACAAACGCCAGACCTAACCTCAATCTTTCGCAGCTAAAATAAATGTACAATTTTTTCTAGTCTCGAATAAAATTCAATAACTCAAATAAAGTATGGCCAACAAGCCGACACGCGATGTGCTCGGCATTATCTTCCAGAACTTCTGGAAGTCCCTGAAGCCGCGTCAGTTTCGCGGCAACTACATTGGCGAGGACTACTTTGGAAACAAATACTTTGAGATTCCTGCAAATCCTGCGATCGGCAAGCGAAAGCCCTCGAGATGGTTCGAGCCGGCAGATAAGGATGCCTTCGACCAGGAGTTAACTGCCGAGTGGGAGGCGTGGCTGCGGGGCCGGCGCGAAGAGCCGCCCACACGGGAGGAGCTGGTAAAGAACCTCCAGATAATGGACATGAAGAAGCGTAATGCCGCCGAGCTGGAGGCCACATACGCCAAGGACAAGGACGACAAGGCGCTACCCAAGCAGGTGGAGGGGCCCACCATTGGCACCTTCCCCAAGTACAAGGAGTACGAGTTTATTCCCGGCAAAGAGCCGCCCGAGAAGTAATTTGCGTAAAGATTGCTATTTTTAAAGAATTTAATGTGTAAATATAGTTAAATGATCTTAAAATATTCTACCAATCGTTTAAGTCCAAGTCCTTAACTATATCCACGGCTCCACCGGCCTCGTCGTAATCATCAGCAGCAGGCGCGTCCTCAGCTGGCTGGGATTTCTGCTTCTCTTTCTTGGCCTTCTTCGATTTAGGCTGTTCCACCTCTACTTCCAGTTCCTCCTCCTCGTCATCTTCGTCATCTGAACCCATAGGCAGGCCATCATCGCTATCATCCTCTGAGTCCGAGGGGAACAGCTCCACCTCGCCCTTCTCATTGCGAACCGGCACTCCTGTTTTAGCGGGCAGTTTCTTCAGCTTGGGCACATCATAGTCCGCATTGATCTCATCCGTCTGCGCCGCCTGTCGGCGCTTCTTGGTCTCGTGCGTCTTCAGCCAGCTGGCGTAGTAGATATCCAACGGTGTGCGCTTAAGGCGAAGCTGGTGCTCCCAGGCGGCCACCGCCTTGGCGTCCTTAATGTCAAAGTTAACGCTGCTCTTGCTGCGCTGCTGCTCAATGAAGCGACCGCTCTCCTGGACCTTCTCCAGGAGCTGCTTCAGTTTGCGAGAATAATTGGGGTTGCGACAATCCTTCAAGTACGCCTTTAAAGCCATTACTGTGGGCACAACCAGATCGCTGAAGGCCAGCGAGGTGGACTCGTGGGCGAGGTACTCCAGCAGGAGGCCACACACTTGCTCGATCACTTCATCTCGGAAGCCGTTCTCCGCCAACTGGGCTTTGTTCAATCGGAGGACACAAGTGAACTGCAGCGGTTTCATAGACACAGCCGTGTGCTTACGATTAAATGTGTTGCTCTTGAGAACCTCCACGATTAGGGGCAGTACTGGCACGTACGTGTTCGTTTCCTTGGACAGGGAAATGAGCGTCTGCAGACAATGGAAGCGCAGCGGGAAGTACTGAGCGGTGGGTATCAGACGGATCACGCCGGTGGCAATGGTAACCAAGGGATAAACCAGGGGTTGCAACTGCGGTTTGTTGGCACTCGCGCCAAGGAGATCCGCCCACAGGCGTACAGAATTGATAAACTGCCAGTTGTACACCGCCTGGAAGCTGTCCTTCTTCTTTAGGATCACAGCATTTCGCAAATGAATGGCCAACTGTCGGATGTAGAGAAAGGCGTGCTGGTAGCTGACATTCAGGTCCAAGGCGAACATCTCCACCAGAGATCGACGCATAAAGTTGATTCCGGGTAGAGTGTTTGGCGACACGAACTTTGAGTTCCTTACGTAGGCCAAGTACATGGCTTTTAGCACGTGATTTAGCATAGTGGCCTGGAAGGGATTCAGTACTTTAAAGAGAGTTACTAATTGAGATTATGTTTACAACTCACCTGCTGCTTCCTGGTTATCTTCAGGATGCAAAGAAAGGCCAGCACTCGCACGGTTTCATCACCTGTTGCCCAGAGAACGATCAGGCGCTTTAAAATGGTCTTGCCCAGAGCTGTAAAGGGCACCACCATTCCGGCCATTTGGTGCAGGTGCTTGAGAAGCACACCCAGGATGTTTGCACTCGACACCTGCTCCACCAGGCGGATCAGATCCGTGAGATAGTAGCGCAGGCAGCCGCGCACCTTGACCCACTTTTTGTGCTTGTGCAGCGGCAGGCTGGTGTTAGGTTTCACGCCCAGAACTCGGATAATGGCCGGCTGCAGATGGAGCACGCACAGTTGAATAACTCCATTGAAGGCAGCGGCACCTACGACCTTAAAGGCGGCGGCATTGGGCTGATTCTCCCCGCCATCAGCACCGTCTGCAGAGATGCTAGCCAGGGCCGAGTTGAAAGCCTGAATAACCTTACGCACAATGTCAATGGAGACGTTGGCTTGGCCCAACTGCTGTTCCCACTGACGCAGCAGGTTAAGGGTGACCTTTTGGGTACCGCCAGTGGTGGCCTCATCCTCCTCCTCGTCCTCGAAGTCGCTCTCATCGCTGGCCACGGCCAAATCGTCGCTAGGCTTGTGGTACTTCTCTTCGTTCTCCTCATCGTCGTCGCTCTCTTCAGCAGCTTCCGACTTGCTCTTTCCTTCCTCCTCCTCGTCCTCATCCTCGTCTTCGCTGTCGGACAGATTAAATTCCAGCAGCTTCTTGTCGTTCTTTTTTAGGAAATCGTAGAACTCTGGATCAATGTCCTTTAGTCCCTCCAGCTCCGCCTTGTAGCTTTTCTTGGCTCCTTTCTTTGCTGGCTTAACATTCTTAACAGGTGCTGCAGTCTGTTTGGATTTCTTAGCTAGCGCTTTGGTTTCGGGGGCTTTGTCGGCCTTCTTAGCCACCGCTTTCTTAATGCCATCCTTTTGCGGCTTCTTTTTGCTGATTCCCGGCGTGGCTTTGCCCAGAGTTTTAACCTTTTTCAATTTCATTTTTCCCACGAGCTAAACTCTAAAACAAAATAAACGCACGTGTACCGCGTCGATAATGAAACAAAATTCTGCTATGATTTTGGCCTACACGGCAGCTGGGCACACTTAAATAGCCTCATGACAGCGTTGCCAAACTTTAAGAAATCACAGGCTTTGTCGTGCTGGCCTTTTCCGCAGTTTAATATGTAAGGAAAAACCAATCTTCCCCGGAAAAACTCCGAAAACCCCATGAAAAAACTCTGAAAACATTTGAATCCTTAAAAACCATATAGGTAAAAAATATATCCAAAGTGCCATCTCTGCAAAGCTCAAGCGAGTTGGCAGCTTCGGTTCTTGTTGTTGTTGCGACTTTCAGGCTAAATCTTTATTTGTTGCAATTGCCATTTTTGCTTGCAGTTCGTATCGCGGTGCCAAGGGGAGGTGGATAATGGCACGTAAGGCCCACAACTACCACATGTACAACGCCATACCCGGCGGTATGGAGTCGGACGAGGAGGAGCTGGAGGACTTGATGCAGTGCCTGAAGATCAAACGCCTGGCAGACATCACAACAGGTGCCGGGATCAATGGTCGCAACTTCGACGCCACACTAGACGCCGAGGCGGAGGAGTTCTTCAAGGTGTTCCGTGAAAAGTGGAACATGTACAGCAAGAAGAAGTCGCCACATTTGTGCAAGGAGTTTGGCAAGGCGCTGATAAGCCACCCGGAGCCGGCACTGCTATTGGCTTTGAAGATATTCGCCAATTGTCCCGACAGCAGCAATGTAAAGCCCAAGAGCTTGTCGCACTTCGTGCTGGACACTGTGTGCAAGCTACATGAGGACTACCCGGAGCTGCTCTTCGAAAAGGACTGTGATCCAAATACCAGTATGATTGCCTTTAACTTTGTGAAACTGTCGGGCCTGCTGAGCCTCAACAACGCTGTGATCCATGCCTACAGCCTGCGCCAAATACGGGAGCTGTTGCTACCCAAACTGCGCGAACTGCTAGAGGCGGGGCACGTTAAGGAGGTAACTCAGTGGACCATAAGCCTGCAGCTAACGCATGAGTTCGACATGATGGACCTGGCCTTTCCGTTGATTGCGGTCGAGAAGCTGCCGCTGGCCGAGGAGTACCTGGACCATGCCATCGAGCAGCGGCTGCCATTCGTTAAGTTTCTCGACTCGCTGCTCCACAAGGAGAAGTCGGTCTTCCAGCTCTGCGAGCATCTGCTGGGTCGCTACAAGAATCTCAAGGTCTCCCACAATGTGCTCAGCTATCGGCCCATTTCTAAGATAGTGGCGCGACTGGCCAAAAAGTACGGTTTCGACGACACCGTGACGCCGAACTACAAGTTCACCAAAACGTGCAGCTACCTTCACTACCTCTACCGTGAGTACGAGAAGACGCGCATCAATCTGGCCAGTTTCCGGGAGCTTGTGAGTGTCCACGCCTATGACTATGCCTTGTGCAAGGACTTTGTTAGCTATTTGGCTGGCGCACAGGCTCATTCAGAAGCTATTTACTGGTATAAGCAGTTTAAGCTGAACCCAAACGATTGCCCGATGGAAATTAAGTCGCAGGTGTCGCGGAATGGCTCTACGCAGTTGAAAAATCGAGGACCTGATGCCGACGACGAGGTCAGCCACTGCGCGGCCAGTGGCTGTGATATGTACCTGACCATGGACCTGCCGGACGAGTGCCTGAACATTGTGGACACGGCGGCGCAGTTTGAGCGCATGTTAATCCATCTGCAGAAGGAGCGCATCATTTACCTGGACTCGGAGTGGATGCAGAACGTGTGCGGTGCCAGCCAGCTATGCGTGCTGCAGATAGCCACCGGACACAATGTCTATCTGATCGACTGTCTGGCCCGAGAGAGTCTCCGTGCGGAGCACTGGCGCTCGCTGGGCGCCAATATCTTCAACAACGTTAATATCCTGAAAGTGGGCTTCTCCATGGTCAGTGATCTCAGCGTCCTGCAGCGCTCACTGCCGTTGCAGCTACGCCTGCAAATGCCACACCATTACCTGGACCTGCAAAATCTCTGGATAGAGTTAAAAAAGCATCGCTACGGGGTGGAGCTGCCCTACGGTAATGTGAACAGAGCTGGCGATGCCCTCACCGATCTCTCACTGGTGTGCCTTGGCAAGAAGCTGAACAAGTCGAATCAGTGTTCCAACTGGACCAATCGTCCGCTGCGTCGCGAGCAGATTCTTTATGCAGGTAAGTTTGGAGCTATAACTCTCCTACATAGCTACTAATGAGTTCTCCTTTTCAGCCATCGATGCCCGCTGCCTGCTACTGATCTATAACACTCTTCTGGCTCGCGTGTCCTTCATCAATGTGGCCATTGAGAAGAGCATTGCTAGCAACAATTTTTTGAGACGCGGTGCCAACCTTAAGTGAGGCCTGCGTGGATCCTGATTCTCACGGCGCGGATGGTGTTTCGACGACAAAGGCAGCGCGTTCGACCGTTCGCCCAACCTAATCTTAGTGCAAACATTAAAGTTGAAAAGTATTTAGCGTACAATTACCGAGGCAGCTTAATCGGAGGTACTTTGTACAAAGGAGATGTTACAAATGAAAAGGAACCGACGATAGATTACTGACGAGAAATGAATTTTATCCTCATTTACTTTATAATTTGGTTTTTGATTTACTTGTAAATATTATATACCCTTGCATTATTCCAATTATTCACACAGAGAACACATGTATTATTTTTTGTATTTTCTGTTATGTAGTCGTACAACGAACCCATCTTTATTTACTCTCTCACGCATAATCAAAACTAAATAAAAGCAATGAATAAGATTAAAGAACTTGTGAGGAGTGAACTAAATACTTTCAATAAATTCGGTACCGGATTAAAAGTTTATATAATTAACAAATATAAAACATGTGGAGTGGATGAAGTCTGCTCATTTCAGCATGTGAGCGTAGCCACTGTTCCAGTCCCGCTCAAAGACGTCGCGCAAGTCACTCCTCAGCGTCTTGGTGTGCTCCGTCTCGTGAGTTTCGCTCAACACCAGGCCAATACCGGCAGTGTTCGTGAAGTAGTCGCCGCTCCAGTTTGAGGTGCCTATGTATGCCGTTCGATCGGTGACCATGTACTTATTGTGGTTGACCCGGGCGTAGGGGATCTTTCCCTGACTCTCATCCTCGGGTACAATAAAGCGACGCTGACAAGAGAATTATAATTATTAGATCTATTTAAAATGTTTTGTAGGTTAAGGAAAAAAAATATTTTTAAACATATTCATATATATATCCATATATCATATATAAATTTACGAAGCGGAAAAAAAATATTTAAAATTTAAAATTTAATTCTAAGCATGTTCTTTCGTTCAAGTGTTATGGCTATTCTTTCCCCCTTTTTAACTCACAATTTGTATATCGATGTTGTCCTCTTTCGATGCCAGATCCTGCAATGACTTCAGGTACTTGTCCTCGCTGGGATTGGAGTGCTTCCACCAGGAGATGAGTAGCTTCACCGCCACGCCGCGCTCCACAGCCGCACGACGCAAGGCATCGTCAATGAAAGGCCAATAGTGATGCCGCTGATCATAGATGGTCAACGGATAATAGTCCATCACTGCGATGTTCACGTAGGTAATGGCCGAATCAATAGTGCTGATTATGGCGTCCAGGTCTTCCGTTCGGCCTCTGGCCGACAGGGGTGGTGGCGAGCTGGAGAGGAAACCCTCCATGGTGGTGTTCTTGTTCACATTTATCTTCATGGGCGACTGGAGGTTGAAATTCGTATTCAAGTTCCAGTTCCAAGACGGAATTCGCGAGTCTTTGGTGTGGCCAAGAATCCAGTAGGCCTCGAAAATCTTTTTCACGTCAAGCGCCAGCGCCCGACAGTTCGTGGCGAGCACACCCATTTCCTTGACCTGGGTGAGGGCCCGCCAATCCATATTGGCGCTCCCCAGATAGAAGTGCTCCTCGTCCACGATCAACAGCTTTGTATGCAGCACGCCGCCGCCGAAAAACTTGGGAAACGACACGCTCACCACTTCAGCAGCTCCATTGCTGGCCAGCTGATTGGTGTCCATGTTAGGAGACACACTGGATGGTTCGCTCTCGGCAATACGGATCTTGATCCTCGGTGTGCGGCTGCCGCCATTTCCGTTGGCCAAAAGCCTGGCGAACACGTCCTCGCCTGGCTGTGTGCTGCTGTCGTTCACTCCAGGCGTGTCCTCTGCTTTCAAAGTCCAATAGAAGGAACCAATGTCCAAGGTTTGCTTGGCGCTGTCCAGCAACTGAAGCCAGGCCTCGTAGGTGCCAAGGAATTGCGGGCTGCCGGCAGGATATGTCAGGTTCTGGGGTATCGTCTCTACCAGTTGTATGTTGCAGTCATACTTGCTGTCGTGCAGACCATGACCTCTGCCCCCGCGCCACTGCTGGAAACGTGGCCGCGGCTGGAAGTACGAGGAGCCGAGGAAAAGGAGCATAAAAACAGACACCGTTAGCATCTGGGCAGCCGCCGGGCTTTCCGGTGCCGGCTTCGGTCGCTCCTGCTGCCCATCCTGGGCGGCCGGAGAGGGGGTGGGGCCACACTCCACATCAGAATCCTGATTCTCGAGCGTCTTGTATTGGGCCATGGTGAAAATACCCGAGATCGGCGATTAGCTGCGTCAATGGCTTGGTTATCTTGTCGATATTGCCAGGTGATAGTCTTCGTTACTCAGTGGTTCTCTCTTGAATAAGCGGTTAAAGAAGAATGATAAAGAACCAATGATCGGGGCAGCAACGGAGAGAGTGATTCGTTCTAATACTTCCTCTCTCACTGTTCGTCAAGGGGTGTAGTCAAAGGGGTTCCTTAACGGACAAGTATCCCCTTACTGTCAGGTTTATTTGTATAACACACGATTTCCTTAACATAACTTTACTTTATAGTAATTACAGGCTTTCCTTTTGTTATTCTAACAAATCTAAGAAACCCGCTTCGAAAAAGTTTTTAACGGCGCCCCTGCGGACAACAGTTGCAGCAAAACAAAGTCAGCTGTTCATCTGTCAAAACTTGTTGTTGCACTTCGAAAAATGCTGAGAAATACGTTCTTTGCCAACGCGTAAATTAAAACAAAGAAACTGTAGCAATATGATATTTACTTACAGTTTTTGCATTCCAGAAGGCTGAGGCAACTGCCGGCAGGTGTTTTGGCACGAAGTTCCGCAAGGAACAGCAGCACAACGACGACGTCTCTCGATGCCGGCACTGAGAAGGAAGTGCGGCATCATGAGAACCAGGCCTCCGACTGGTGGAATCAGAACGGATCGATGGGGGCACTGCATGCCCTAAACGAGATTCGGTAGGTTCGAGAAAGTTCCATTTGTTTGGATGATATAACAGTGTTATAATCCACAGAGTTCCCTTCATCAGAGATGGCATCGTTTCGCGCGGCACAGTGGAGCCTGGTTATGTAAATACCACCAAAGTGCTCAAGGGACAGCGAATTTTGGAGGTCGGATGTGGCGGCGGTCTACTAACTGAACAACTTGCGCGACTAGGCGCCCAGGTTACAGGTATCGATCTTGGCGAAAAGCTTATCGAAGCGGCCCGTGATCACCTGAATAGCTTCAGTCCGGAACTGGCCAGCAATGTTATATACAAAATAGAGCCGGTAGATCAGCATGCCAAGGGCAATTTTGAGTGCTACGATTCTGTGATTGTGTCTGAAGTGCTGGAGCACGTCGACGATAAGGTGTCACTGCTGGAGGCCAGTGTACGCACTTTAAAGCCTGGCGGATCTATTTTATCACCACTTTGAACAAGACTATCCCCTCTTGGTTCGGTGGTGTTATATTGAGCGAATATGTACTGAATCTGGTGCCAAAGGGCACGCATCATTGGGAAAAGATGATTTCGCCACTGGATGTTCAGCGGATCTTGGATACAAGTAGGTCTTCCCTTTGATAAGCCCTTAGCAAGAAAGGCTTTAATGTTTTTAGTTGTACAAAAAAATAACCCTTCTTGCTTTAGCCTTTCCAACTTCCTTCAACGCTTTTTATTGAATCCTTATCAACCCATTTACAGTGAACTGCCAGACGGTATTGGTGAATGGCAGTACCTACGACTTTTGGAGCAACACATGGCGTTGGATCAACAATACCCAGATGTGCTACGCCCTTCAGGCGGTCAAGAATAAGAACGCCTAAGCGAGAGGATTCACTTGATATCGTATATTTTAGGTAACTAGTGCTAGTTTGGTGTATGCAATAACTTAAGAGTAAACAACTAATCGTCATCCTCACGGGGCTTCTTAAACTGCTGTTTCGTCTGGGGATGTTGACCGGGTCTACTGGCCTGCTGCTTTCGCTTGAAGTTCTTTTTGGAGGTGAACTTCTTGGTCATGCTGTCGGTGACAGTTGGCGCCTTGTTGGCATAGTAGGCCTTTGCCATATCCTTGTCGGAAACCTCCTTGGGCTGCTCTGGTTTGGAATGGGCCTGCTTCTCTGCTAGCTCCTGCTCCATCAGCAGTTCAATTTCTGGGTTCATGCCCCGAAAGCTGAGGCGTCCGTCAATGAGGCCCTCGCATATGGCGTAGCTGCATTCTACGATGAAGTTAGAGCTGGAGTTGATCATCTTCTCGTTGATCTCGTTGGAGTATAGTGCTCGACTCTGCTCGTCGTCCGCCTCCCTTGCCACTTTTACTTTGGTGCGCTGCATGAACTTCATGTCCAGGACACCTCGCGACAGACGTGGCTTTATTTTAGATGACATTTTATAAAATATAATTATATTGGACAGAATATCGGAGCTGCAGCTCCAGGCACGTTTAATTTTTTTCACAAGCAGAATGTGCGAACAAAACAAAGAGGAAAAAAGTGGCAGTGTTGGAAAGACCGATGGGAAGTGGCAAGACAACGTGGCGCGCCCTCGTGTTTTTGCGATATTTAAAATAAATATTTAAATTATACAGGTTCAGTAGGCTAGTTTCTCATTTTGGCACTTATTAGAAAACATAAAATATCAAAAATATGCCTAAATTTAGGAGTTCCTCCAAACACCACTCATTGCGCCGCTCTCGCATAACCAAGCCACGCCGAAAACATGTACATGTAATTGATCCATGTGAAATATTTCGCGACAGGGGTAATTTGTTAACCATGATACGGTTCTATGCCGGCCATGAGTGCCTTTGGAATTGTCAGGACGAAGATTACTATAACGAAAGGAAAAAAATGGAGCTTTGGTGCTGGTTAACACGCCAGTTCGGCGGCAGACTTTCCCCATCTCACGTTGAATACCATATGAAGTATTTGCACGCGAAGGCTTTGCAGGTATTCAAGCGGATGGACAGATGTCGACGGATGGGTCTCCGGTACCGCAGACCGACCTTTGACCTTCTGGATGAATTCAATTTCCTGCTGCAGGACCCAATGCCTGAAGAATCTTTATCCAATATTACTGCACAAGAAGTACTCCAAAGTCATGTGAACTTCTGCGGATCAAAGGAAGCTTCATATAAGGATGAGCTAAATGAGTTCTGCAAAGAATTAAAGAAGCAGCTTAAGCTTTTGCCTCAAAACACTTGTCGACTTGTACAAAGAAAAGTTCTTTTATCTTGGAAAGTTTAAAAAGTGAAATTCAATTTTATGATTGTGAATCCTCAGTCTATTGGTTTCCTAAATGAAGAATTGGCGAGCGTATACAGTTGAATCACATAGAGATCTTTCAAGAAATAGAAGGTAATATTCCATTTGAGTCTAAAATATTCGTATATCGTTGCGAGGAAGTTCTTGCAATTAAAATACAGCGTGATCTGAGATACATAAATAAAAAAGCTGCAGGAGGACCCTCAAAAACCAAACCTGTAAATATAAATTTGTAATAAAATAAGTGTAAAAAATTGCTACGCAGTTGTTCAAAATCCATTACAGTGTTGGGGAGTGTGCAAAACATATCGATAGCACGATAGAGTGTTGCAAAGATGCGGCGTCGCTTTAGCACACTACTCAGGGGTAGAATAGAGGGAGAATGAAAAAAGTGACATAAATGGCGGAAACCTTCAGCGCCAACATTCGTATTTAATTTGGACTAATTTCGCACTATTTTGCGTTGCTTAAGTATTGAATGCTGAGTGCAACCACACAACGAGTTACCAGAACGGAAAAATTGTTTTCGAAGCGACCGCAGACCATGTATAAGCGCAAATCGACGACTATTGTTAAAAGAGACAGCAGCTCCGCAGCGGCGGGCTCCTCCACAATGGTGATGATAATGGGCGGCGGCGGCGGTGCCGGCAACGTGGACATGGACGGACCCCAGACGCCCACCAAGGTGTACGAGCCCATCGGCATGGACACATCCCAGGATATACACACGCCACTCAAGTCACCGCACTCGCAGCCCGGACAGCAGCGTTCCGTGGGCTCGCTGGTCTTGCTCACACAGAAATTTGTGGATCTCATGAAGGCGAACGGTGGCACTATAGATCTGAAAGCCGTGGGTTAACACAATACTCTATAATACCATGCTGAGCCACGCTTTATACAACCTTCTATGTATTGCAGGCCACCAAAATCCTGGATGTGCAGAAGCGGCGTATATACGATATCACCAATGTGCTGGAGGGCATTGGCCTAATTGATAAAGGCAGACACTGCTCCCTAGTGCGCTGGCGGTAGGTTTTACATAGCTAATTTCCATTTTAGGTCGCCAGCTGGAAAATTGGGAAAACTAAGTGGAGATATGTATAACTTGTTTTTTATAGAAGACTTTCAGGGGAATTTATGTGTAACTATAACTTATAGTCGTTCATTTTATCTAAGCTGTTCTCTTTTGTATATAGCGAGAACATTTTCATTTGGTGTAAGAACAATATTTAAAGTGGGTAGTTCAAACAGCAACTTTATTTCCTGTTACTGTTAATAGAAGTTCCCACATTCATTATTAGCAACATTAATTTAATATTTCTTTTCCTTTAGCGGTGGGGCTTCAACAATGCCAAGGACCAAGAGGAATACGAGGAGGCGCGTGACCGGACCAATCACTTGAAACTGCAAGAGGACGAGTTGGACAAACAATTGGAGTACGCACAGCGAAATCTGCGCTATGTTATGCAGGATCCAGCGAATCGCTCGTATGCGTATTTGACCCGAGACGATCTACTGGACCTTTATGGAGATGATTCCGTATTTACTATACCGAACTATGACGAAGAAGTTGAGATACAGCGAAATCAGGTAGGTCGAAAAGCTAACTTGTTAGTATGGGTTGGTATGATAAAAGGCGTGCTTTGAAATGTATGATAAAATTAACGTAGGTCTCAAATGTAAGTAAATTTATATAAAGCAATTCCATAGTGCTTTTATCCTTATGTAAACTATACGAAACCTGCATGTTTAATTGGACCCTTCAACTTCTCTTTGCAGAACGAACTGAGCGTATCGCTGGATAATGGCAGCACCATCGACATTCGGTTGGTAACCAACCAGGGCAAGAGCATAGCGAGTCCGCACGATGCGGACGGTTTCTTCGACTACCGACGCCTGGACACACCCTCACCCTCAATGTCGTCACGCTCCAGCGAGGATGGCAAGGGTACGGGGACCACGGGGAACGTGATCACCGACGAGCACACGTACTCATGCAATCCCGACATGAAGGATGATATGAAACTGCTTGAGAACGAACTGACGGCAAAGATAATATTTCAAAATTACATGACCGGGCATTCGCTGCGACGGTTCTATCCCGATGACCCAAATTTAGGTGAGTTTCTCCAATGGGTCTTATTCACACCTGTGATTTCTAACCACTACCATTTGTGTTGTGTAGAAAACCCGCCTCTGGTGCAGCTAAACCCACCCCAAGAAGACTTCAACTTTGTGCTGAAAAGCGACGAAGGCATCTGCGAGCTGTTTGACGTACAATGCTCCTAACTGCACGGACGGGGGGACTTACACATAATAATGACTGTACAATTACACTGCAAATGGCCGCGAGCATTGTGCAAATATTTATGATTAGTACAATTCTGACCTTTGATTCGTTTATATACCGTGTAGAAATTTTAATTAGCTTAATTCCAATGTAATTTCGTCAGATTAACATTTAATCCAATAAATTCTTTGCAGTGCACCCATTTAGCGGGTGTATTTGCTTATTATACACCTTTTATAACATAAAACCATAGACGCTGTATTGTGTTGTAGAAATTTGTTGTTTTAGAAAATGAGAACCCCGTAGACAATGTTTTTTTATACTCTTTCAAGGTGTTATAATTTTAGTCATATGCTTTGAACTTGACGAAGCCATGTCCGGTTGGAAAACATTTTTTCAATTTAAGAAAAGAAAGATAAGGGTTACATTGTTAAAATTTTGAAAATATTAGAAAAAATTGTTTAATGGTAAATTGAGTATGCAGATTTATTAACCAGATAAAAACTAACAAAGCTTTCCGAATGAAAATTAATGCGTTTTGGCTTAGTTATGCATTTTTAAAACTTTGATTTAAAAAAATATAAAATATACATTTAAAATATTATACAAAAACAATCAAAGAATGCGAATAAATAAATTTTAGTCCTAGTTATGAAAGATTTTCAATTCGATCTTAAATTCAATTGTGAAAGAAAAAATATCAAAAGAAGCGAAAACTCAAATTTTCAGGTATTAATACGTTTATCAGTGCGACACGTTTTTATCTTTACATTGTAAAAAAATTTTAGTTTCATGACAACGCCTGATTGAATAACACCACCTGGTCTCATTATTGTAACTCTTCATGGTCACACTCGGAAAGTACCGCAAACTTTTGCAAGACGTCGTGTGAATAAGAATTAGAGCGAAATTTTAAGAATGCGAAAACGTGATAGGTTAGGATGCTGGCAACAGCTTTTAACGCTAGTGGGCGTTCCCTCACTCTCGGAGAAGGAGTGGGCCAAGTTATATAAGTATTACTTGCAGAGCTGGAAGAGAATTCATTACATCAAGCTCGACAAAGTATGTGTGACACTTTTTTTTTGTCCTCTTCTGTTCACCGAATGATTTGCTTTTTCCCTTTAACAGAACGCTCTTCCTGCTGCAGATGTAAACCCTATAATCGGACGCCATAATGTCACGCAACCACCGGCTGATGTGGCTTCTGCTCCTGGAAGGCACATTAATGCGCCAGCGGGTCGCTCAGTCAGTCCCATCAAGCGCCGGAATACTGTGGCGCAGAAATCAGCTCCCTCAGTCTACCCCATCAAGCGCCGCAATTCTCTTGCACCGCTATTATCTTCCTCAGTCGCTTCCATGCAGCGCCGCAATTCTCTGGCACCGCAATTATCTTCCTCAGTCGATCCCATGAAGCGCCGCAATTCTCTGGCACCACCATCTGCAGGAGCAGCTCCCAAAAACCTAAAACGTAAAAGCTCTATGGCTGCTCACGATTGCGATACCAGTCATCAAACAGATCTGTTGCTCAGTCCGATTAAACGCACCGACTCGGTGATCTCCGCATTCGAAAATATCGATTCCAATGGTTTCAATAGTCCCATGCAGCGCCGGGACTCGATTGGTTTGGATCAATGGATGAAACCAATAAAATCAATATCACCTTTGGCTCCCAGCCCCATTATGCGCCAAGACAATGTGGTATCAGGTCTAGGGATAAATCGGAATCGGGACTCCTTAGTTACATCTTCGCCAATGTTAAAATCGAAAAAGTTAGCGCGCAAGGCACTGAAAAAGCCGAAAAGCGCCGTAAAGCATGTAACTGGATCGGGCGACGATCTAGATGAGGAGATGTCGCTATCGACTTGGAAGAAATACATTGACCAGCGTAAGGCGTTAGACACAAAGACCTTGGAAAGCTCCGAAAATGGAATTCCACCTCAGAAGGTTAATAATAATAATATTGAAATGGATACGCCTGTGAAGCGCAAGAGGGGTCGCCCGACTCGCGAGGAGAAGGCTAAGCGACTGGAGGAGAACCAAGTGCCAAAGATGCATCAAGCTTCGGACCCTTTGAAGGAGCCACAACAGGAGAAATCAATTCCTGACGTAGAAGCATCAAAGAATCAAGGACGAGTAGCTCAGCGCCATGACGCACCTATGGAGCCGCAGAAAACCGCCTTGCAGCCCACTACAATAAGTCTTTCACCACAGACGACCAAGACCCATCAGTATTCCAAACCGCCCCAACAGAAGTCAGAAGCCAAGCCAACATGTCAGTCAACTTCTTCAGTCAGCGATCAGGAAGGAACGGACATCACCATACTTTCAAATGTTGTCGTACCACCCGCTGTAAGCTTTTTTATGTTCATTAAGTCACCTAACTCCCTTTCCTTCTCACAGATCATAGATGAAGACGCGATCCTACCGGCCCACATGCCAGTGCATGCAATAGATTTGAAAAGTCCTTCCAAAGTTCCTTCCGAAGATAAAGAAGAGAAGGAAGACGAGCAGGGAGAGGGTATGGAGAAGGAGAAGGACGAGGACGAAACTCGCGACCAAACTCGACAGAGAACGGGATTATCAGAGAAAACGACCGTTCAATGTACAAAAGTATTTTCTCAATCGATGAAGAGGAAGATGAACAGCTCTTGGCCAAGCAAATGGGCTTCGTTTTAAATGACTTGGAGGCAGAGGAGCAGCTAATCGACGATGTAATGGATCTAACCAGGACCGTTGGCGGCGAAGAGGGTGATAAGGATGCCCTGGACATGGATATCGACCTCGACCTACTGGTTAAGGACGACAACATGACCAACCAGATGGCGCTGATTGACCCGCAGCCCGAGATGTCTTTCGATCAATGTCTGGAAGCAATAGACACCAAGTTAAACAGTCCCAAAAGAGCGCCCAGCTCGATAGACCATCAGCTAACCAATGCTGCCGAGTTTATCGAGGAGCTATCAAGTCGGCCGCCCGTAGATGTGAATGCGGACAAGTCGAACCTAATGTGGCCGTTCATGGACGAAGATGAGGTGTTAGACTACGAAGCTGACAACGATGTGCTAACGCTGGTTGTCTCTTCGGATGAACTGGATGACGAGGACCCAAGTAAGTCCCCTAAACCCGAACTGCAACCAAAGGGAATTGATAAACCCGAAATCCCGAATGCGGAAAAACCGAAGAACTTTCGGATACCCCGGATAAACCCAGAGCTGCTGCAAGCACAACCATCCGTCATGCATTCCCTGTACTTACATGAAAATGAGGAACGCAATGGGGAGAAAATAACCCAAGATGTGCGCCTAAGGCGGGAAGAGGCAAGAATTGCCAGGCGTCCAAAGGAATCAATGCCCCGGTTTGCACCTCCCTATCGGCAAACTTGCGAAAATTATGTTCCCGAAGACTTGCCGCAGCCGCTGTTTGGCCCCCAAGACTTGGCTCCTCCGCAGTTTGGTCCTGATGATTTGGCTCCGATTTGTGCCCCGCCCAACAACAGGGAAGAGACAAACTATCGGCAACCTCTTGTCGCATCGCAATATTCCCCGGGAACCTTTATTCCAAATTCTGAACCGCTCGGTAACAGGGATTTTCTCGCCGAAGTGCCACACCAACGGCATCCTCCCGGAGCATCCCAATATGTGCCACAAAACTTGACCACCAGCTGCAGGAATACTTGCCCCGCCGAAGTACCGCTTCTCAGCCATCAAGGCATTGGTGCCAAGCATTGGATGATGGAGATCTTTGGAGTTAAGTGCCTTAGGTATTTAGAAAACAAATGCCTGGTGGCTAACTGTGATCATACGTTGAGCCCCGTGGGTGAAGTCGAGAGGCGCCTCCTCAGTATGCCAGAGGAAAGCCTGGTTCATACATACCGACAGGCACTGCGCAGCTCCTACATATTCCAGCGGTATTTTAAGTGCTTTGCGAATATCTTTGAGCGTCGCAAACTCGGCAAGCACCTGCTGCAAATGCTGGTCAACAGCCGGTTGTATCGAAACTTAACAGTGCACATTGTTGAGTACGTTTTTTCAGCCCTCAAACGTTCTGGATTGGAGCGCGAGGCCACGAATTGCATGATGACGGATCTCTGGATGCCAGACAAGGCACACAAGTTCAGTGAGTTGACGTTGGCAATATTGAATATATTAAAAACGGTCAACTGGCAGGACTACATCGATCAACTTGTAGAGCTGCACGAAACACACAAGTTCTTGTTATCCGACGAATTAATGGTCCGAATAATGAAGTGGGCAGATGTTACGAAGAACGAAGCCCTCCAAAAGAAAGCCATGATGATGCTACTCGCTGACATGGGCACGTATTCTCGGTCTCCGACTCTCATGTCCCTTGTCGACAGGTTCTCCAACCCCGATCCAAATCCGAACTTACATCAGTTGAGGGCAGGGTCCGTGCCAGCCCTTCCTCGGATATCACCGGCACAACAACAGCTCATCCCGCAACAAGATCGACTACTTGGAGTAGGTTCGAGTCCTTCCCTCCTTAGGAGATTTTCGACAAGTGGACACCCTCAACCATTTCCAGCATCGAACTGGAACCTGCCTGGAGCAGGTCCTGGTCCATCGCTTATAAGGAGTAATCCAGCTCTTACGCCACATTGGACTCACACTGCTAGTTCCAATGCTTATCGCGACCTGCCTGGAGCAGGTCCTGGTCCATCGCTTATACGGAACTCTCCGCTACTTGGACATCATCAGGAGCAGCAGGAGTATTTAACATCGCTCTCGAGAAGCCAAGGGGATAATGGGAACAGAGCCGATGACCCGTTTTGCAATTACCGCAGTAGTTTCCAGTAGGATAGTTTTTTTTTCAGTCAAATGTAGTTATGTACCCCATTATAATATAATTCTCTATATATATATATGTGACCTTAGGGAGATGACTCCCTGCAGTTAAATGGACGATTTTGATATGATCATATTGAAGTTTCTTTGGGATTAAACCCATTGTTTATGTTTCATAATATGTACTTACAATTATAAAAGTGTATAATTATTGCGACACCTAAAGGGAATTTTGTCTTGCTTGCAAGAAATTCTGTTTGTGAAGTTTGTAGAATCAGAATTCCTAAATATAACCAAAAAATTATGTACAATTATGTTTTCTGTTTTATTATGGCATTAAAGTAGTTTTAAATAAAATAGTCTTAAGAATATAGTGTTTATTTCCTATCTCCGTGGCTTCCCACCCTTGTTCCAGTTCTTTTTGCCAAAGCTTTTCTTGCCGCCGCCTCCTCCTCCGCCCTTGGCACCTCCGCCACCCATGGGCTTCATGCGCTTTCGGGCTCCCGTAAAGTGCTCCGAATCGTCGTGGTTGTCCCCGCCGCGCTTGTGCCCACGGCCACCCTTTGTATCCTCTAGATCCTTCAGCTCCAGTTTCGCCGTGCGCTGAGCCTCGGCCACACGCTCTTGCAGGGCCATCACTTCGTCCTCCTCGCACTTGTACAGAGGCAGCTGCTTGCCCAGCAGGTGCTCGATGCGCTGGTACAGCTCAATATCGTACTGACTGACCAAGGTGATGGCCTTACCAGAGCGTCCCGCTCTCGCCGTTCGTCCCACGCGATGGATGTAGTCTTTACTGTGCGTCGGTATATCAAAATTCACTACTACATCCACATGAGGGATGTCGAGACCTCGTGAGGCCACATCTGTGGAGATGAGTATGGAACGGTTCTTGGCCTTGAACTTATTTAAGGCGGCCAGGCGCTTGTTTTGCGACATCTGTCCGTGGAGGGGAATGGCGGCCAGCCCTAGGGCACGGAGCATCAGCGCAGTCTTTACAGTGTTGTTGCACGTGCTACAGAATATCATGAAGCTGTTGCCCGCCAGTTCGTTGAGTATGTGCACCAAGTACACGTCCTTGTACTTGACCGGAATGAAGAGGTAGGATTGCTGCAGCTGCTCCACAGTTTGGTACTTATTGGAAACCTCCACCTTAACGGGATCCTTGAGGGAGGCGCGTTGCAGCTTCTTGACCTTCTTGGTCATGGTGGCGCTGAACAGAAACGTGCGTCGCTCGCGAGGCAACACCTTCAGGATCTTGTCCAGTTCCACCTCAAAGTCCATGTTGAGTATACGATCCGCCTCATCCATCACCAAGTACTTTATGGCTTTCAGATTGAAGCCCTTCATGTTCTCCAAGTGATCCACAAGGCGACCTGGAGTGGCGACGATAATGTGGGGCTTCTTGGCCAGCTGCAGGCCCTGGGCCACCATGTCCATGCCGCCCACAACCACACAACATTTGATGCCAATGCTGCTGCCTAGAAGAATGCAGAATGAGCTTGAATTAGGTTATGTTACATACCGAAACAAACACTAGCTTTCGAAGGTATTTATGCTCAGAGGTAGTGACGAATAAGAAATAATAATTTCATATTTTCGTTTTATAAACAAAATCAAAACAGGTTTAACATCATTGTGGAGGGAAGGCATCTATAAAAAACCAAAAGCAGACACTCACCAAGCGCCTCGAACTGCTCGCCGATTTGGAAGGCCAGTTCACGTGTGGGCGTCAGTACCAGTGCAAAATATCGCTGCGGGTTCTCGAGGAGCGCATGTAAAATGGGCAGAGCGAAGGCACCAGTTTTGCCGGACCCAGTTTCCGCCAGACCTATCACATCTTTGCCCTGCAAGGCACCGGAATTGCCTCACGCTGGATCTTTGAGGGCGCCTTCCACTTAAGTTCGTCGCAGGCTTTGCACAAAGTCTCGTTGAGGCCCTACAGAGCACAAGGATTATTATCTCTACAATGATGAGCGAGTCCTGGGCAACGTACGAGATCCTTCCAAGTCAGCTTTTGCTCCTCGGCTTGGTGATCATGGTCGTTTTCCTCTTCCCCGGAGCCACTTGCAGCATCTTCGCCGCCACTCTGCGCCTCCTCATCACTGCCCTCGTATTCTTCTTGCTCGTCCTCCTCGCCACTTAGTTCCTCCTCCTCTTCGTCGCTGGTTTGCAGCTGCTCCTGTTCGTCTTCTGAAGTTTCCGACATTTGAAGTTGGCCAAATATGTCGCTATTCCGGTCCACGTGGTTTTAATATTTGTATGCCTTTTTAATATTTTTCTATGGTCACTCTAAATACCGAAGCCTTTATTTAACATTTTACATCCAACAGCCTATAAAAACATTTTACACGTTTACAGAGACATGGGTTAGAACTCTCGCGTTTGGAGTTAAATTAACAGAATTCTTTCTCGTTGGCTGTCGGTGATGTAATTACGTTGGCTGTCGTATGTCGGTCGTTATTGGTTGCTGAAAATATATCAAAATCTCAATACATTGACATCATTTAGAATTTTGATCTATTTTTGCTACTCTGAATTCCGAAACTGTTATTTAACATTTTACATCTCACACCTAAAACTATTTTAGACGTGGTAGATTTCTCAGGTGTTGATTCGAAAAACATCGATAACTTAGAAAGTTCGAAGAACATCGATAAGACACCGATGACTTATAAAATGCTAAAAACATCGGTGCAACGATGTTTTCATCGAAGTTTGCGCACCTCTACTATTGATTGAAATAAAATTTACGCAAATACAAAAATTTGTGTTCCAATGCAAAGTAAGCTGCCGGAAAAGCTATTCAAATTAGTAGATAATGCTGAGGCCGACGCGCTAGCTGTGCGATTCGTGTTGGTGCATCGCTTATCAGTTGTTGGTGGCCTGTCGGTTGTTGGCTGGCACGGCGAGTGAAAACGCCTACTGATGCGAAAATAAAAACGATACGATCGAAGTGACTCGAATTCTGGAGTTTGCAGCCAGGTGATGGTTTTGTGCTGAAGCTAATTTTCGGTTTCGAATTGCATTGCCTTGCAGGTAGACCATAAAAATCCATTGTGAAAATTTCGTGGGGTGGTTGGGAGCCAAAACGGATACTCAATAGGCCAGAGTCGTCGTAGTAGAGAGCGGCAAAGAGAGCGAGCGAAGAAGCGCGGAGCATGTATTTGATGTGTACTCAGCAGCAGCGGCCGAAGAGAGCGCACTAAGCAGGCGAGAAGCAAACACCCACACAGGCAGCAAACGGGCGCCCACTTTCGCACGTACATACGCAGAGGATACGAGGAAGAGGCAGAGGACGAGGAGGCGGAGCTTAGCGAAACTAGGATAACGATGAACCCGGCTGTGGATGCGTGGGCGGTGACCCAGCGGGAGCGGGTCAAGTACCAGGAGCAGTTCAAGGCGCTGCAGCCTCAGGCGGGCTTCGTCACCGGAGCCCAGGCCAAGGGATTCTTTCTGCAGTCCCAGCTGCCGCCGCTAATCCTGGGTCAGATATGGTACGTATTCCACAGATGACTCACGGGGTCTTTCCGGACTGATAAGAGCTTGTTGTTATGCTGACACTCATCCGCTCTGTCGGCGTTTTGATTGTTTGTTCTATTTAGGGCCCTGGCGGACACCGACTCCGATGGCAAGATGAATATCAACGAGTTCAGCATTGCCTGCAAGCTGATCAACCTCAAACTGCGCGGCATGGAGGTGCCCAAGGTACTGCCGCCCAGCCTTCTGGCCTCCCTCAGCGGTGATGGAGTGAAGACGCCCTCTATGACTCCACGCGGCTCCACCAGCTCCATGAGTCCGATGGATCCGCTCAAGGGAATTGTCCCAGCCGTTGCTCCAGTGGTAGCTCCTCCTCCAGTGCTGGCCGCTGCTCCACCCGTTGCAGTAGCAGCTGTTATTTCGCCTCCGGGTGTCGTGGAAGCCAAGTTGCCGGCTGGTCCCACGCCGCCCTCCAGCAACCCACCAAGCCGCCATATGTCCGTCTCGGAGCGAGCGCCCTCCATCGAATCTCTGTAAGATATCCGCTTTAAATTCTTATTTATTATTATTGGAAGCCAAATTAATAGACAGTCTCATATGAAGATTTGGATAAAGTAGATCAACTTTAGCTTGAATTTAATAATAATATTTCATGTTAAATTTTTTGTTATTTTTGTGAGCTCTTATCGCTTTCTTCGAACCAAAGTGTGATAGCAAATTTTGTATTTAAAACAAGAATGGAAACGAACTTGGGAAGTTTATAGTTTATAAACCCTAGCATTTTGCAAGGGAATAAAAACTAAGAGGCTTAGGCTACGTGAAGCTCAAATAGCAATGACCATGCTCTATAAGAAAAAAAAAAAAAAAAAAAAAAAAAAAAAAAAAAAAAAAAAAAACATGCTTTATATCAGAAATAGAATAATAATCCTAAAGCTTATATTACTCGGTAATTACTAAGGGGCACTATACTTTAACCTGGAAAATATTTATCAAATTAAATGTGCAAGGCTTAAAGAGAAGTTTGGTAAGAGAAAAATAACTAATATAAAATCACTGATAATAAGTATTTATAGAATACAGAGGAAATGAGATAAAATAAATATGTTCTGCTTAACTAAGTCTCTATTAAGGGGATGAGGAATGGAGAATTGACATTTTAAGCGAAGGCTTCATTAATTCATTGTAGATTAAGCCTACGACATTTTAAAAGATAATCAGGCTTGTAAATCCCCACTCTAGGGTAAATTTATAATATATTAATTAGTAAATTAATATTATATTTATAAATTTAATTAAATTCTTTTCATTTCCTTCTCTTAAACAGGCAAGGAGGCGATTGGGCCGTTCAAGCTGCTCAAAGCGGAAATACACGCAGGTATTCAATGCCAATGATCGCACACGTTCCGGATACTTGACCGGTGCCCAGGCTCGAGGAGTTCTAGTCCAGAGCAAGCTGCCCCAGGTGACGCTTGCCCAGATCTGGACACTGTCTGACATTGATGGCGATGGCCGACTTAGCTGCGATGAGTTCATTCTGGCCATGTTCCTGTGCGAGAAGGCCATGAGTGGGGAAAAGATACCGGTGACCCTGCCCCAGGACTGGGTGCCGCCCAACTTGCGCAAGATCAAGTCGCGGCCGGGCTCAGTTTCCGGGGTGGTGTCACGCCCTGGCTCGCAGCCTGCCTCCCGGCATGCCTCCGTGTCCTCACAGGGCGGCATTGCGGGAGCCGCGGATGCTGATCCAGCAGCCGGTTTGCCCGGACAAAGTGAGTTCTTACAGTTTTTCCATCTCTGTGGAATTTGGTTAATAACTTTATTTTAAATAGCTTCCTTCGAGGACAAACGAAAGGAGAACTATGTGAAGGGTCAGGCAGAGCTCGATCGCAGGCGCAAGGTCATGGAGGACCAGCAGCGAAAGGAGCGGGAAGAGCGGGAGCGCAAGGAGCGTGAGGAGATAGAGAAACGCGAGAAGGCACGCCTGGAAGCTGAGCGTAAGCAGCAAGAGGAGCTAGAGCGACAGCTTCAGCGTCAACGTGAAATTGAGATGGAGAAGGAGGAACAGCGCAAACGGGAACTGGAAGCCAAGGAGGCGGCCAGAAAGTAAACAAGATTAACTGTTGAATTTTGATTTTATTAACTTATCATATTCTTTTTTGCTTAGGGAACTGGAGAAGCAGCGTCAGCAGGAATGGGAGCAGGCCAGAATTGCTGAAATGAACGCACAGAAGCAAAGGGAACAGGAGCGTGTCCTCAAGCAGAAGGCACACAATACCCAGCTAAATGTGGAACTGAGCACACTGAATGAAAAGGTAAGCCTTTATCCTAAACCTTTTTACCATAAACCTAGAGATTTTATTAATATTAATACCTCTTTCAGATCAAGGACCTTTCGCAGAAGATTTGCGACACCCGGGCTGGTGTAACCAATGTAAAGACCGTCATCGATGGCATGCGCACTCAACGAGACACTTCCATGACCGAGATGGCGCAACTAAAGGCTCGCATCAAGGAGCAGAATGCCAAGCTGCTGCAGCTTACCCAGGAGCGGGCCAAGTGGGATGCCAAGAGCAAGGCTAGCAATGCGGCAATGGGTGGCGAGAATGCCCAGCAGGAGCAGCTGAATGCAGCCTTTGCTCACAAGCAGGTGAGTTCGAAAGAAACCCCCTTGGCTTATTATTCTATAAGTTTCCTTCAATAAATTAATTAATCCTCTCCAGCTGCTGATCAAGCAAATTAAAGACAAAGTGGAGAACATTGGCAAGGAGATTGAGTCCAAGAAGGAAGATATCAACTCCAACGACATACAGATGACTGAGCTGAAGGCAGAACTCTCCGCTCTGCTCAACAAGTGCGAAGAATTGTACAAGGAGTACGATGTGGAGCGCACTTCGGTTCTGGAATTGAAGTACAATCGCAAGAACGAGTCCAGCACAAGCTCGGCGTGGGACACGGGCACCTCCAGTGGTTGGGGCGAACCAGAAACGGCCGTTGCAGATCCCTATGCCGGCCTGAGCAACGACATTGGCGCTGTAACTGCTCCGGCTGCGGATCTCAGTGGACCGGCGCCCGAGGGTTTCGTAAAATATCGAGCTGTATATGAATTCAATGCTCGCAACGCTGAGGAAATCACCTTTGTGCCGGGCGACATTATCTTGGTCCCATTGGAACAGAATGCCGAGCCCGGATGGTTGGCTGGCGAAATTAACGGCCACACTGGCTGGTTCCCCGAATCCTATGTGGAGAAGCTGGACGGTGAAGTGTCTACATCCATTGCTGCAGCCGTCGAGCCGGAAGTCGTGGCCCAAGTGGCATCCGTGGTGGCGGACAGCTACAATGACAATATCAATGCGGTTGCAGAGCCAGCTGCAGATCTGACTGCCGCCGGTGATGTGGAGTACTATATAGCCGCATATCCTTATGAGTCCGCCGAAGAAGGTGACCTGAGCTTTGGTGCCGGCGAGATGGTGATGGTCATCAAGAAGGAGGGCGAGTGGTGGACGGGCACAATTGGCAATCGCACCGGCATGTTCCCCTCGAACTATGTCCAAAAAGCGGATGTGGGCACGGCGAACCCAGCAGCAGCAGCTGCCTCTACAACTGCTGCCTCAGTTGATGCATATGAACAGGTAAGTGAATAGATGAGGACCTGGCCTTAGGCCTTATTGTAAACGTTCCTACAAAAGAAAGCCTGAGACTAAGCTAAGCTTGTTTGGATTGCAAAAATTGGCTTAATTTCCAATACAAACTAGCTTAAATACGACCCTATGTATATTATATTAGTTTGACCCATAAATCTATATACTATATATACAGACCTAGGTCACAGCCCCCTAAAAAGTAACCCAGAATAACCCAGAGTCGTTTTTAACCGTTGCTTCCTTCATCATGTCCATCTACTAATCCAATGCTTTTCATGTGCTGTGCTTTTGCCACCGTTATCGTTACACTTGCACTGACTCAGGAGGCGACGTTGAATGGCAACGCCGCTTACGCCGCTGCTCCCGTTGAGCAGCATGAACAGCAGCAGCAGTTCCAGCCGTTGCCCGTTCAGGAACTGAGTGAGCAGCCAGGCTCTGGCACTGGCCTGGCGCTGGCGCGGAAGAAGCGCACGAAGACCTCGACACGGAAGTTTCCCAGATCAATACACAGTCCAAGACACAAAGCAGCGAGCCGGCCGAGAGCTACAGCCGACCCATGTCACGCACCTCTTCCATGACACCCGTAAATAGTTGTTGACACAACCTGTTGATCCTTCCCTTATACTGTATCATCCAATTGATCCGTTCTCTTTCTCCTCTCTCTTGTGATAACCTTGCAGGGTATGCGGGCCAAGCGTTCGGAGATTGCCCAAGTTATTGCTCCATATGAGGCCACCAGCACTGAGCAGCTTTCGCTGACGCGTGGCCAACTGATTATGATCCGCAAGAAGACAGACTCTGGCTGGTGGGAGGGTGAGCTGCAGGCCAAGGGTCGAAGACGCCAGATCGGCTGGTTCCCGGCCACCTACGTGAAGGTGCTGCAGGGCGGTCGCAACAGCGGACGCAACACGCCCGTCTCAGGCAGTCGCATCGAGATGACCGAGCAGATTCTGGGTGGGTATTCAACTACTGAATTACATGTCTGTAATGTGTATATATAATATGAATATAGTATCGTATAAAAAGATATTTTCTGACGAAAGAGAGCTTAAATTTCAATTCATAAATTTCTTACAGACAAGGTTATTGCTCTCTATCCGTACAAAGCACAAAACGACGACGAGCTATCGTTTGACAAGGACGACATCATCAGCGTGCTGGGTCGGGACGAGCCGGAGTGGTGGCGCGGCGAGCTGAATGGCCTGTCCGGCCTATTTCCCAGCAACTATGTGGGACCGTTTGTGACGTCCGGTAAGCCAACGAAACCTAATGGCACCATCAAGCAGTGAATCTCCATGACTGCAGTTCCAGCTCTCTATATGCCTAGCTCTCTATCTATAGACATTCCTACACAATTATTATACCACTATTATTATCATTACCATTATTATTATTATGATTATTATCATTATAATTTTTGCTATTCGAATAAGCCATGCCTTGTCGCTATCCAGGATAAACCCTCTTATGTTTAGTGTTAATTTTTGTTGCAATACTTCCAAGATGTGTGTATCTACTTGTTAATTATGTGATTATTTAGTTTTTAATAACGATTAACCTTTAAGTTTATCCGCGCTTGTCTTGTATTTTTTTCGCTTAGCCAATCTCCTACCTAGTTTTAAATCATTTCGTGTATTTATTTAGTGTGCCTATACAAATATATCTCGTATTTTTTGTATATATAAAGATAAACCAATTAAATGCTGTTCCGATTTCAATTAACTTTTTAAACAGGAAACGTATAACGAGTCATCGGCTATGGCCTCTAAGCGGCACCGCTCGCACACACACAAAAAATCGAAATGAAATTAACAAATCTACACGAACGATCCTCCCCCGGGGAATTGGGTTAACTATTAAGATCAGCATCTGCATCGGCAGCATCCTTCATATATCATTCGTAAAACTACCAAAGGAATTAGTGGCTGAATGGCTGAAAGTATAATGTTTTCCACTTGCTCTCGCTCGAAAATACCTTCAAATTGTTAAATAGAATTAGTAATGAGATCTCGGAGATCATTCACAGAATCAAACAATGCTCTCATGTTCAAACGAAACAAACAAACAAACCGAGACACATTTTTAAAGGGTTAAAAAAGCAAAGTAATCTCAGCATATTGAAGAATCGATTAAACATAACAAAAAATACAAACTACATAAGGATATCAAAGGACAATTTTAATTTCGTTGTACTAATAGATGTGTTAATCGAAATATTCAGCAGTTTTTTCCCCCAAAAAAATACGCCGCATATATAGTAACTATAACGATGGTTTTCTGTGTTTTCCAATAATATCCGAATATAGCAACTCTGTACATATATATTTCAAGTGGCAAGGAACATGAATTATTGTTAACTAAATATTAAGCATATGATGACCATTCTCGTATATAAATCTTAGTGTGAAAACTATGAGGACATTAGGGATAAACTCGACAGAGGAGGAGGGGCAACCAGTATTGATAATATTAATGGGCTTAAACACTTGACTTGATTTATTGATTTACTTATGTACGGATTACTGTCTAATTTAAGCGCTTATCTCAACTGCCATAATTGTATTTATTTAATGTCTATTGTGTCTTAATAACTGATGAATATAGAACTTGTTTGCTGCTAGTTTCAAGCTGAATCTGTAAAAATAAGGAGTATGTACAAAAAAAAAAAAAAACAACAAAAACAGAGAGACAGCTAAGATATAGTCACTTATTATATGATATAGGGTCAACGTTATGCTGTTCGAATCTGTTTAAAGCTAGTTACAAAATCACACACATATTATATATATATATTCTATATGCTATTTCGTACACACTGTCGAATGCCTTTCAACCAAAACCAAAAACCAACTTTAAAACTAACAACTAATAACCAAATCGATCACCTTACCACATGGATTAACTTAATCGTAACTTGTTATTGCATACCACAACTATTTATGCGTCTATAGCTCTATTATAAACGAAACCAAAGTGAGAAAAATGAACAAAAAAACGTTATTTAGCGGGGAAATTCTAAAAGCATTAACAAAACACACATATTTATGTAGCTAATGTTGGGTTGATTATTGATTCTATCATATATATGTACTAATGAGCCACAAAAATTAAGCATATACCACATATGGTACTATATACATGCATATATGTAGACCAAGTACTACCGATTTCTTTAGATGAAGATGAAGAAAAGCGAAAATCACATACATTATACACATTACATATAATGCTCGCTCATATATAAGCGTATTTGTTTAATCGTTACGAAAGTTAATTAATGTAAAACCAAGCTTAAGAATAATTACCAGGACAAACCAAACCCAAATGCATAAGCACACACACCACTCACAAACTAACACCTTACACTGAGAGAGACTCACTTTAAACGCGAAATGGTGACCATCGATATATATATAAATATATATTTACCTATATACACAAGGAAGACACATCTTCAGCAATGAAGGGCAGTGCATTCTTTGACACAAAAACAAAATTAACAAAATAACATTAAACATAATGAAATATATCAGTTTCAAACCATAATTAGAAGAACAAGTAAATAAAATAAAGAATAAATTATGAAAAATAAACAAATTACACATATTTGGTGCAATAAATGTATAAACGGAACTTCAAATAAAAAAGTGTCTATATTATTCTTACTATATTTTAGGGCAGGTAAAATGAAAAAATGGAAAGGGGTTACATCCTTTCTGAATTGAAATTAATGCATCTTTGGCTTAGTTACGAGTTTTTAAAATTTTGATTTCTAGTAAAATTTGCATATAAAAATATAGTTAATATCGATTAAAAAAATGGGATTGCGCCTTCAGTCAGGAGCTTAAAAGAAAGTGAAGGAGTCATTTCCGAGCCTATAAATCATTAGCAGTTTTATTACCCTGCTAAAAATAAATATAAAAACGCTTTCCAAATCGAAATTAATGCATTTTGGCTTATTTATGACATTTTTACACTTTGATTTGTAGTAAAATTTGCATATAAAAATATAGTTAATATCGATTAAAAAATGGGATTGCGCCTTCAGTCAGGAGCTTAAAAGAAAGTGAAGGAGTCATTTCCGAGCCTATAAATCATATATATTCTTGATCAGCATCAACAGGGAATCTCTTCAGCTATATCCGGGCGAAAAAATTTTTTTCAGAAATTTCCCATTTTTTGCAAATTAGGAAAGGGGTTACATCATTAAAATTTGCAAAAATCGGCGAAAAATTCAAAATTTAAATGGAGTAAGCAGTTTTATTAACCTGCTAAAAATTAACATGCGAGCGCTTTCCGAATTGAAATTAATGCATTTTTAGCTTAGTTACGAGTTTTTTAAATTTTGATTTGTAGTAAAATTTGCATATAAAAATATAGTTAATATCGATTAAAAAATGGGATTGCACCTTCAGTCAGGAGCTTAAAAGAAAGTGAAGGAGTCATTTCCGAGCCTATAAATCATTAGCAGTTTTATTACCCTGCTAAAAATAAATATAAAAACGCTTTCCAAATCGAAATTAATGCATTTTTGGCTTAGTTATGACATTTTTACACTTTGATTTGTAGTAAAATTTGCATATATAAATATAGTTAATATCGATTAAAAAATGGGATTGCACCTTCAGTCAGGAGCTTAAAAGAAAGTGAAGGAGTCATTTCCGAGCCTATAAATCATATATATTCTTGATCAGCATCAACAGGGGAATCTCTTCAGCTATATCCGGGCGAAAAAATTTTTTTCAGAAATTTCCCATTTTTTGCAAATTAGGAAAGGGGTTACATCATTAAAATTTGCAAAAATCGGCGAAAAATTCAAATTTAAATGGAGTAAGCAGTTTTATTAACCTGCTAAAAATTAACATGCGAGCGCTTTCCGAATTGAAATTAATGCATTTTTAGCTTAGTTACGAGTTTTTTAAATTTTGATTTCTAGTAAAATTTGCATATAAAAATATAGTTAATATCGATTAAAAAATGGGATTGCGCCTTCAGTCAGGAGCTTAAACGAAAGTGAAGGAGTCATTTCCGAGCCTATAAATCATTAGCAGTTTTATTACCCTGCTAAAAATAAATATAAAAACGCTTTCCAAATCGAAATTAATGCATTTTTGGCTTATTTATGACATTTTTACACTTTGATTTGTAGTAAAATTTGCATATAAAAATATAGTTAATATCGATTAAAAAATGGGATTGCGCCTTCAGTCAGGAGCTTAAAAGAAAGTGAAGGAGTCATTTCCGAGCCTATAAATCATATATATTCTTGATCAGCATCAACAGGGGAATCTCTTCAGCTATATCCGGGCGAAAAAATTTTTTTCAGAAATTTCCCATTTTTTGCAAATTAGGAAAGGGGTTACATCATTAAAATTTGCAAAAATCGGCGAAAAATTCAAAATTTAAATGGAGTAAGCAGTTTTATTAACCTGCTAAAAATTAACATGCGAGCGCTTTCCGAATTGAAATTAATGCATTTTTAGCTTAGTTACGAGTTTTTTAAATTTTGATTTGTAGTAAAATTTGCATATAAAAATATAGTTAATATCGATTAAAAAATGGGATTGCACCTTCAGTCAGGAGCTTAAAAGAAAGTGAAGGAGTCATTTCCGAGCCTATAAATCAGTAGCAGTTTTATTACCCTGCTAAAAATAAATATAAAAACGCTTTCCAAATCGAAATTAATGCATTTTTGGCTTAGTTATGACATTTTTACACTTTGATTTGTAGTAAAATTTGCATATAAAAATATAGTTAATATCGATTAAAAAATGGGATTGCACCTTTAGTCAGGAGTTAAAAGAAAGTGAAGGAGTCATTTCCGAGCCTTAAATCATATATATTCTTGATCAGCATCAACAGGGGAATCTCTTCAGCTATATCCGGCCAAAAAGAATTGTTTTCAAAATTTGCCATTTTTTGCAAATTAGGAAAGGGTTACATCATTAAAATTTGCAAAAATCGGCCAAAAATTCAAATTTTAAATGGAGTATGCAGTTTTATTAACCTGCTAAAAATTAACATGCGAGCGCTTTCCGAATTGAAATTAATGCATTTTTAGCTTAGTTACGAGTTTTTAAATTTTGATTTGTAGTAAAATTTGCATATAAAATTATAGTTAATATCGATTAAAAAATGGGATTGCACCTTCAGTCAGGAGCTTAAAAGATAGTGAAGGAGTCATTTCCGAGCCTATAAATCATATATATTCTTGATCAGCATCAACAGGGAATCTCTTCAGCTATATCCGG